TAATATCAGTATGTTTAATCATATAGATCCTTTGAATAGATGAAACTGGAACACACAGCTAAACATATGTGGTTTGGGCAACTTGTTATGGGAGATTTGAGCCTAAATGACTAAATTTAACAAAAATAATTTTGAACTGTAATTATTGCATGCACGAAGCCTTTATCCTAAAATATTTACAATGATTAACTCCTCTTAATTTCCCTTTACAACAAATAACTTCTGAGCATATGTAACATATATTTTTGTAAATTTTTGTAAATTGCTTATACAGAAACTGAACAAAAAAAAAATAATTTCACCATGACCTTTTGCTATATTTTTAGAGTGACTATTAACTTTAAAGGCATTTAAATTGTTTACATAAGGTTGCAAAACACAGATTGTGAAGATTAAATTATAATTGACACCGCCTTATTGTTAAGATAAAGTTATCAAAAGGACTGCATTAGGCGATTTAATTTTCAACCATCAATCAAATTTTTAAATCTTTCATAAATATCAAATTGTATTTTAATATATAGATGTCCTCTATTGATTACGAGGTCAATCTAAATGTAGATTATGTTTATAGTACGACAATTATCCATTCAACCCTTGAGTATCAAATAATTTACCCCTGTGTTGCAAGTGACAAATTATTCTTTGATACTGTTCTGTAGTTCGTATATAAAAAGGAAGTCGTGATGTTACGTAGAAGTGTGCGGAGTTCAACGTTGAAATAGACAAAAATAAAAGTGAAAATAATAGAACCAATAGTTCGTTTAATTTGTGAACGTTAATTGGCACAAGTAATAAGATCTTAAACAATATAAAATACATAAGCTTCTTCGAACTCAAAACAGCACAGGACCGAAGAGCACGCATGTTGTTCGTAGGTCAGATGATTGAATGCAAACGTACGATATTCTAGGGCTTGTATTTCCTATCATGATTTCCTTGATAGAGGATTGCTGCTCAAAAGGAAGCTATTAAACATGTTAAAGCAAGAGTGCGAATTGGTGAAGTTGAAATCATCCCTTCGTAAGTTTTACGGACGCCATCATGAGCTGGTTGACCGTTATCGAATATCTATTTCACAGATGAAAAAGAATATGTTTCAATTGTCGTAACTACAATCCTGTCTCTATTTCCCGAACGTGACCTACCGAATTAGACTGATCACCGAGTTTGTACTTGCATGAGCAACAAGACTGGTGTTTGAATGTCCTTTTGGCGTGTTTGGTATCTGTCGCCTCTCTCTTGTACAACTGCCTGAACAATTATCTCACATTGTGTTTGTTTATATATAGATAAACAGAGCTGCAGCTAATTCAAAAATACAAGTTTGATGTAGGTTGTTCCTGCACAACAATTCAATGATATATAAACTTACAACCCCATCTTCATAAAAACTTATTTTTATTGATTGACACAGATAAACGTAAAAGATAGACCACCAAGATATGTTTAATGCCTATAGTCAGTTCAAGATGCTTTTTCATTGGTACATAAAGTATTGTTCGGACACTGTCTATAAAGATCGGTTCAGGTGTAAATATGATATGCATTTAAGGATATTTGGGATATGTTTGTTTTCAAATTGAGTAAACTTGATAAAAGTTTTTTTTTCACTGTCAGTCAGGCTTGTGATTTTGGTGAGCACCTACTTAAATATGCAACGTTTTCAACGCGACAAACCTGACCTATTTATTTAAATTTCTTTAAACAATGAATTACACCTATTAACCTCGGACATACATGAAAATTGAGGGTTTTAGTTTTCTAATTAATCTGATAACGATTTTAAAATCTTTTAAGGATCATGAGTTGTTTATGCTTGATAACTAAACAAATATTTGGAATGTCTAACGAAAGAATACTGGATTCGAAACATGGACTGCGAATCCCACATTTACCACTACATCATTTATGAAAGAGGGCAGTTTTTCCCCCTTTTCCCCCTTTTTTCCCTTCAACATTTATTCATTTATTCTACTAAGCAAGCTTACTGTCTCTTCCAAACCTTATATATATTTCTAATGACTTATAAAGGATATTTACATGTATTAAGGTACTTGAATAAATGATGATAAATGGCCTACATACTTGAATATACTTTACATTTAGGAATTAACACTGTTCATATATATTTGCTTGTGTTTGCTCATAAGTGGCATGCATGTTCCACTATATTATATTATTTTAAATACAGTTGTTAATATTTGAATTATACCTTGTACATGTAATATGGAGAGAGAGCTTTTCTAGTGCCTGTTGCTCAATCCTTTTCATATCTTATTGAATAAAATAGGTTTAAAATCAAAGAGAAGATTTAAGAAAATCGCCACCCCGTGCTTATTGCCTTAAAGTTTGGTGTTACCATGAAACGGGAGATGAAAATCTCCTGTATTTATGCTAGATACATTAACTTCACAAACATCTTTAAAGTAAACTTTATTTAGCCGAATCGTCAAGATGTTCAACTTATTTTCCTTCTAAAATTCTTAGAGTCGTAGATAAAACAAATTGTTTTAGATCATAAAAATCTTATCTTGCAATGAACCTCAGTGACTCAAAATCGTATACACCAAAAATGATATCATAAGAAAGTTGGACCTTCTGATCGACAACACTTTAGTTAAGTTTGGAAGATTGTGATCCTAAAACCAAATGTTCATCCCTACTGGCCGATTTGTTTTTGTACTCATATGAAACACAATTCATAAACAAAGACTTCTGAAAAACAAAAGAAATACTAACATGTTGCAAAGTACTTTCATTTTCAGAGAAGTTGATGATGTCCTATCACCCAATTATTCAAATTTCAGTGAGTGCTTGTATATCATATATTTCAGTGATCTTTTCAGAAACTAGAAGGCCTGATTCATATTTGAACTCTTCCTCGATATTGATACAGATAGACGATCTAAACTAAAATCTATATTAAATTTTCTCATTGTCAATTTCCAATTTCACTGCAAAAGCATCCTCTGCCAATCGTTTGGGGTTTCCAAATCTCATTCGAAACTTTAAGCTCGAGATTGTTCACATAACATAGACTTTGTTGGTAGGGATGTGCTCCTTACACATAAACTGCTTTAGCTGAGTTATGAGGAGTAACGTCTGAAATCGACATTGCAGTTTGATTTCCTGTTCGCCATCACGGAATGGTTGACCAATAAGAAGTATCTGTGTCTAAACTAACTAGCGACATGATTTCGCAGACTAATGTCTTTACATGTTATAATAGTCGTCTAAAATGTAGTTTTAACGATCTGGTTCTATTCCCAATTTTGACATTTTTAATGAGTGTGGATTTGGATGACGTATCCACCACAAGAACCCCTTGTTCCGTTGACGCATCCAGTTTCGATTCTTTTACGATTTCAGTTTTCAGTTTTGTTTGTTACCTTGATTTGACTTCTTAATCGATTCATAAGATTGAAACCTCGGTAAACTACTGTTGCTTAAATACAATTGTCACACGACGTTCATAGCATTCCTTGTATGCAAAGCAAGTAATAGATTACATATAGATGTTAACGCTCTATACTAACTTGCATTCGAGAAAAAAAAGACATTTGATCGATTCATTATGTATTAAATAATAGAAGCTTTAAAGATGCCACATTTTTTAGCCCTTAAATAAAAACACATAATGCATCTTTTGGTTGGTACCCCCATGTTGACAATCCTCATTTTACTTTTTATTTTCATTGAAATTCTGAACCTAAACGGCTCCTTTTGTCTAAAAAATTGTAGGTAATGTTCAGTGTTTAAGTTCTATTCCAGAAAAAAATATGTTACTGCAGTATTACCAATATAGTTAGTGTTCAATTAAGACTCGTTATATGTAATTAAAGGTTGTTTGAATTTTTCAACACAAGTCAGGATAAGGTATAATTTGGACATGAAATGACCACCACTTTATTTGAAACTAAAACAAAGTAGCCATTAATGCTTGAAATGCAGAATTTAACATAGGAAGTAATGGGGCTAATAATAAGTGGTTGTAATCCTTAAGATTGCTTTTAGATCAAATGGGCCGATTAATTGTACAAACCTTTGACTGGATAACATGAAAATGATTTTTTAGAAACACAAACAGCCATTAAAGCGGAGCGTGTGGGAACCTATTCTTCATACTGTTCAGAAGGTGTCATAGCCGCAATGAATCATATCCGGTTGAAAAAAGTTATGTAATGTGTAAACGCGATGAAATACGTATTCAATTATTTATGACAAAGACAATTTAATCCGAAGACGATCGGTAGAGTCACAGTGGCGTCAATAAAATAAAAATATGCAAATACTGAACTAACAGCTACATTTAGTATGTTATCTCTAGATAAAATTATCGAAAACGCAGGTAAAATATAAACGCCATATCAAGTGATATAAGAAAAGTTTTATAAAGAAATAAAGAAAATCACTTTTCAATTGATATGAAAAAAACAGGTTTCTCGTAAAATTATGATCGAGCTATATTACTCAAAAGTTATATTCAAATATGTTGTTTACTAGCAACTTATTTGACCTTTAATAGCATACAGACAAAAAATTTGTTAACAATATTTTCGGTGCACTGAATATGATTTTACTGGTTTTACCCAACTTCACTGTTCTTTTATTTCTACAGGGTTTATACTAACTTTAACACTCGAAGAAATACCTATCTTATCAGGTTGATCTATAGCTTAAAGTGTATACGTCTTTTGAGAAAACTTAGAAGCAAAATTATTAAAAAATGAAGGTATTTACTACGCTATCACCTCCTGATTTGTGTCTTTCTTTAATTTGTGAGCTTTTAAGGCTTTTCATAATTTTTTGTAGCATTCTATATATAAAATCAGAAATAAACAGACAATTAGGTTGATATTTAAGTAATGTCAAATAATTTAATTAAAGGTACTTCAATACCATATAACGTATTGTCAATTATTTCTTTAATGTGTACACAAAAGTTTAAATAGACGGTCATTCCTACTGGTATCATAATAACTGATTGCGTATCAACACATACGTTAAAACTGATTCTTCTCATTTAATAAACACAGAGTACTATAAAGTGCATATTGTATTTTTACCCATGTATTAAAGTTAAAAATATCACATAGTTCCGGGAAAACATTAAATCAATTCATTACAAATGTGCCTTAAATGACGATCTTTACCAAGAATTCTTAAAATGTTACTGAACTGGATAATAGACACAGCAATATTATCATTCGTTGGATTGCTATGATAACTTTGATAAAGTAAGTGTTATTCATTTTATGTCTTACTACGTCAATAATACATATTATTTAATTATATGAGCAAATCAGCTCTAATACGGATAAATCAGCATGTGTGATACTGATGACGCCTCTCTGTTGATATAAGGTAGCAATATAGTTTTATTGCAAAATCATTTTCATACTTGAAAACGTCATATGGGCCAAAATGGAAAACTAAACCCTATATGTGCATTGCTACTTACATCATAAGTTTATATTATTTTTCGGCCCTGTCCAATAAGGGAATGTCTGATTTATTGTTCCCAAATATTGTTTGTGTGCTAGATAATATAAATTGAATTTGCATAGATTAGAAACCTGGACTGGAAATAAGAAATATCACCAATATTGACGAAACAATTCGCCGTGACTGAGAAAGGCCAAGTTCAAATGCAATTCCATGTATAGACAATATAATTTACAGTTAGCTTTTAATATAGCATGAAGGGTTAGAATCATTAAATTAAAGTGTCATGAAATGTCTGTTTATGTTTTTGTCCGCGTTTAAATTCTCGATCAGCTATATATGACGTCAACTCTTGAGCCTTGGGGCAAAAACAACTTTCTTCGAATATATACCAGAGTTATTACTGAAACAACTAGTTTATTATACTTTTTTATTTCTTATTTGTATCAAATTGATGATTAATGAAATTGATAAGTTAAATTGAAACCCAAATGACAGTAAACTGACAAGCCTAATAAAAACGAAACAGTCTTACCTAACAACAAGAAGAAACGCTAACGAACACAACAGAAGTTAAACATATATCGTTCTTAATCATAAGGGGTAAACATATTATGTTTGGCATGCAATACTTGTAGCATTGCTTTGCAGGCACATCTTGATAATAATCAGTTTTGATAGGTCGCGATCGGATTAGAATGCAGGGCATCACGAGAACGGTGATAGACTAATGTATGGCCCTATCCCATTGCAGTGATATACATCATTTAACTGAATATAACCCAAGACCATAGCTTTGTAAACGATAATATATTATGCACTCTCAAGGGAGTAACAGTGGCGGAGATACTTAAAGTATGTAGCAAATCCTTTTGTTTTTGTCTTTCATTCTTGCATATTGGGGTATGAGAAGATGCCATTTATCCGTAAAGAATATGTTGTTTGATGACCACAAATCAGAGAAATAACAAAGGCTATAATTACGGATTGAAATTAAAACTGTTGTTTTGTTGAGCACTAAACGTTGTGTAACTGAAAATATTATTGTTAATTCGTGCATATCAATCCCTCTAAAGTTATTCTTTCGTAAATAAGTTCTTTTCACTTTTTGAACAAATTAAGTTTTACCGGCCGTTAATAAAAAAAAGTTCTTCAAATTTTCAATAACACAATAATTTCGTCTATGACTGTTTGCTTTACATGCAAAAACAAAAGAAAGAAAAAGGAAAAAAAAACAATTACGTTTTTGTATTTTATATGAATAAAGGGGACACAAAAGTTAATATTAGTGAAATTTAGAATATTGAAAAAACAATTGGAGGTTTAGATAATAGATTGGAAATAGACTTGAAAGAAAATCTATAACACTACATTTGATCTTCAATGTCGATTTGTATTAAAGAAAAATCTGAGGCATATTGTACAAAGCAAATAAGCTCTCATGTCTTTGTCCTTGGTGTTTAATGAATAGTCGTACCATTGATAATCATAACCATCTCTTGTTATAGGGTAAAACATAAATCCTTTATTACTCTTAAAAAAAATAATTGTTAGGAACAATAAAATCATTTTATCTTTTTATCATCTCTATGATTTTAATTATGTCTAAAATCACTTAAGTCCATGTTCTTTGGTCTCTGGTAGATAGTTTTAACATTGCCAGTCATACCACTTTTCCTTATTCTTTACCAAAACAATAATTACATTTTTTTTTTAAATTAGTTGTTATAAATTAGTAATAAATTACTTAGAAACTAAAGTTCCAACTCTTTCTGAATAAGCTCACTCAAGATAAATTTTGCAATTCTTATTAATTCATACATCCCTGGAATTTTTCTTGTTCCATATTCCTTGAAAAGGTGAGTTAAGTTAATTAATAAAGTTTTATTTTCATTTACTAGTGAGACTATTCCACTGCTAGAGCAGTGTGTCTTTTTTAAAACAAATTTCGTTACTTTCAAATCACCTTGAATACATTAACCATAATCATTCGACGGCAGCTAACAGAGGGGCCTATGGTTTTATTTTCCATATCCAATTACTTATTAAAATTACAAACGGGTGACTTAATTTCTCCACTGCTTTCTAATTAGTATTATACCCACCTTGAATCTGATATCTTGATATAGATTTATCCTTTATACAAATATAAAAATACATATCAAGGTTAATTGTTTTTTTGTTTCATTTCATACATTTCCCCTTTTTAAAAAATTTAAATCTTATCTAGAAAAGGACAAACAAACCTTTTTTATCACTTAAATAATGTTCTTGGTAAATGAATTTTAATTATTGACACGAAAAGTGATTCAACACTTGAAAAATTCCTAAGTGAAATCAATTGTGAAATATAATCTGTATGCATTTATAAATAAACACAATTCATAGTGAGTAAAAACTATCAACAAAACTATATATTATGTAATATAAATTTCTATATACTATAAAGAATAAAATTAAAGTCATATGAAACGATTTTGTTGTAATTATAACGTTATTGACACAATTGAATCAATGCATGCATAAATACCAAACTAAGTCCTGAATGAACGAATTTTTTAAACAATTTTAACAAATCTGTTACGTATTTTTGATATATCATATTTCATACAGTGATAGTTGGTCGCAAGCTAATAAACGTTTGAGTATGTTACTAACGTTTAATGGATCATGACATTGATGAACAATCAATAGAAAGTACGTACAAAATACGTTTATTGATAGAGCCGTGATATTTTTGTTTATATTTTCCATGCGTTCCCATTTGTTAATTTAAGTTATCATGAACAGTTGTCAAGTATAAAGTTGGTGTATTGACTTTGTTCTTTAAGAATCAGTTATTCATGTTATTCCATATTGAAAGAACTTTAGTAGGTTTTTCTATATGAATGGGATTTTGAATAAATAAGCATATTCACCTGCGGAAAAAGTATATTCACCGCGCAAAACGTCGCGTGCTTTTACGTGAATTATAACAATACAATGCATGACGTTTAGTTGGTTTTGGTAAATAACTGTTATTTTAAACATATTTTCTCTCTCTCGGAACATGGAATAAAACAATTACTGTCTTTTGTTTCGGTAAATATGTGGTTTAATTGACTTTTGAAAAACCTAGTGACATTCACTTCGGCCGTTGGCCTCAGTGAATATCAGTTTTTCAAAAGTCAATAAAACCACACATTTACCTCATCAAAAGACAGTAATTGTATATTATTGCTACCGATGTATTTAACTTTCAGTGCACGTTTGTTTACATTCTTTCATCACGGTTTTCCCTCGCAGTTGCGCTTTGCGGTGGCCGAAGTTCTAATACGAGATCTGGTAATGAAGGTCAGTGCATATAGAAAATGTCGGCGATTAGAGTACGGGAAGATAATAATACAATAGCAGTACATTTATGAAGATCTTGATAATACAAAGAATTTTATCTTACAAGACAGTTCATGCACATTTGTATTTGTTTTATTAGTACACCATAGCCATTCAAGAATATAAAGCAAAAAAAAAAAAAATTAAGTTTCTTTTGACATGTTTGGCTAAAACTAATATTGAGAATTTAGATTGTAAATGAAGGTATACACAGTACAACATGCACAATGAATCGCAGACTGTTTTTTTTAAATGATAACAATAATACATAGTTCCTAGTTATTTAACGAAAAAACATACATATACGGAGTTACAAAAAAGAGAAAATCCATCAATTATAAGTTATTTTTAAAAGTTTTTAATTTAAAAAGTGTTGTTTTCATTTTGTTATTTGGTCAGTTGTAGAATAAGAAAAATACAGTGCAAACGTCTACAAATCATATCGTTTGACATAACAGATTTCATATCTGACTGGATATTTAGTTTGTCGAACCCTGTGTTCTATGTATCCTAATCCTATCATGCCTAGTTGTGGTTTAAATCTGGTTGATCTTTTTTGTTATCTAAAGCTATTGTTTGGCATATATAAGGTATATATGTAAAAGCTTTGGAAGATCTATGTAACTTTCTTACATATATATGCATGAACTTTTAACACTTTTTAGCTTGAAGGAATAAATGAATATAAGAATAAATCGGGACCACGAAGGGTTTTGACCGAATTTACTCCTTTAGACAATAGAAGTTTACCGATATTCTAATCTCAAAAATCTATTCAGAGGGTACACATTGCAATAACATTCAAATACTGAGCGTATCGCATGAACTCAAAAAGATGTCAAACCGTGTGTGTCGAAAAAGTAAGTCCTTCCTGTTATGCATGCGCCGGCCGTCAAGACAAGCGAAATAACACTCAGTAACAATTTGATATAGTACACAGTCGGTAAAATTATGAGACGACTATAATTATGGTATTAAAGATCGAAGACCGAGAAAACATTTCGCTTTTGAGTAAAGACGCATGGTACCGGTCAATCAATTTGAGATTGTGACGGCAAAACTTATTTTTTGTCGATTTAATTTTTTTTTCCTCACAAGTAATTGGATCAATTTTGTTCATGGTACGGAGCTCGAGCATATCCCCTAGTATAATAAGTCTGTATATTGTGATAAGGTAAGAGTGTAACGTGTAAATCATGTTAACTGATATATGTCCTATGATTAGACAGAGGTAATGTGTCTGATGAGAAATGCAAAATTGACTATTTAAAAGTTGAAATCATCACGTCCGTCATGAATTCTAGTTTGAAGTCATGTCACGTTTAGTTGTAATCAACACTCGTGTATTTGTGCTATCATTTATTTCAAGATAAAACGGAAAAATGTAATTATCATAGTCATTAATCTTTATATCATTTGATCAGTAAAGAGTAGACAACGACTTCACAATTAAACGCCATAATGGCATTGTGTACCGAATTCATTTGTTATTGATAAACAAGTCTTAGGTTGATTTAGTTGATTTTAGTCTCTGATGCAGGATTTTTTATTATTAATTGTATTTGGCTTTTAAATAGCTTTCAGTAACTGCGAGTACTCTCAAATCTTACGTTTGTGTTAATTTGACCTGTTGATACAATATGTAATGCATTTTTGTTATTTACTGTTTACTTAATTATATATCTCTTCTCACTATTTTTATTATTTTCCACCTTTGATAAGTGTTTGGTATGAAGACACTTTTGTTCTTGTACTATGAACAACAAAATTATTGTTTTTGTAATATATATTTTCGTACTCCATTGTACTACTAAATTATTTTATTTACCTGTGTACGTTATTTTCTTTGGCGGTATTTTGTCCAAGGTTATGGTTGTCTTTCTGAAATTGTTTATACATCTAACCCCCTTGTTTTATTAATTTTGTATTTACATTGTGTCATAGATCAAATTTATTCGTTCAGTGTATGTTAACTTGTTTTTGTTGATAAGTCTTTTGATTGATTTTAGCCATTTCAATTGATATTTTATAGTCTGTCTTTCTATGTTGTGATGCTACACTATTGTGTCTGGTAGAGTGAAGGTTGGCGCCTTTTAAAACGTTAAAACCCGCTGCATTTGTTTGCACCTGTCCTAAGTCAAGAACCTGATGTTTAATGGTTGTCGTTTGTTAATGTGGTTCATAAGTGTTTCTCGTTTTTTATATAGATTAGACTGTTGGTTTTTCTGTTTGAATGGTTTTACACTAGTCATTTTTGGGGTCCTTTGAAGCTTGTTGTTCGGTGTGAGTCAATGCTCCGTGTTGAAGGCCGTACTTTGACCTATAATGGTTTACGTCAACAAACTGTGACTTTGATGGAGAGTTGTCCCATATCTACTTTAAATAAGGCAAATCTCTATTTGAAAAAGAAATGGAAATTACACGTTATAAATTTCATGCGTCCGATGCGCAATTCTGGAATAACCTTCATCAGGAACGTTCAAAGCCGAATATTTGAAAGCCAAGGATATATAGGAACCGGAACTGTTGAAGAGCTATATGACCAAAAAAAGGACATAAAAAATAGTCAAATCCATCGAAGGACAACTTTGCCTGAGGTATTTGCAATTAATGTCTTTATAATTGTAATATGGCGTTTAATTGTAAAGTTGGTGTTTAATCTCTATTTACCTAATAATATAAAGATACATTACCTCTTTCCTTTTATTATAAGAACAAATGAAAAGGTAAAAAAACAGTTTAAACAGCTTAAAGGTGAGAAATTGCTTATTATAAAGAATAGTGATAAGTGGAAATGTGCTTTAGAAATGGTCAATGGGAAAAAGGTTAAACATATTAGTTTTTCACACTTTCTATGTGTAATGGATGACAGCATTTCCTACTGAAATTAACATTTCAAATTAAAATTAAGTTGTCTTTCCGAATTGAAGTCTTGTTTTATTTAAGTTGTATAATGTTGTACAATAATATGTACACACAATGTTTTGATTAAAAGGTGTTTTACCTAAGAATTGACATCTGAATCTTGAACACGTTGTTCAGTGTTTCTGTTGTTCCTTTGTTTTCCTTTTATTGTTGATGTGTTTCCTTTGGTTTCAGTTTGTAACCCGGATTTGTTTTCTCTCAATCGAATTGACTGCACGCGAATTGTCTAAACGGAACCGAATTTTCAACAGCGGATAATGCAAATGCTGGATGAATTTCATGAAACGAGAAGCGAAACATACCAAACGGACACACAAACATACAAACAGACAAACAATATAATATCTTTCTACATAGGAAAATGCCTGTATCAAGTCATGAATATGACAGCTGCTATCCATTCGTTTGATGTGTGTGAGCTTTTGATTTTGTCTTTTGATAAGAACTTTTCTTTTTGAATTTTCCGTGGAGTTCTGTATTTTTTTTAACTTTTTTTAGACACATTTATCTATTTCAGTTTTGCTATAAGAAAAGTCCGTACTTTTTGCGGTTAAATACAAACTACACAAACCATGATTTAAATTTCCTCATAGGGACATTTTTTCTCTGTGGATCAAACATGTAAAATATTGTGCCCATGATATTATTAATGACTTTTTTGTTGTGGTCCTGTTTCCCTGGATATGACTGGAATATGATGACGGATGTAACATTTAAACATGAGGTTTTAACCTTGTCGAAAATTCTGCGTTAATGTGATTCCGTTGAATTTTCCTTTAAAATTTATTTGCCTGAATATGGACTTATACTTATAAGATAAGTAAGTTCCGTTGAATAATTTGTAACGACATGACAAAATATCAACATTGTCTACCAATTTCAAGAAATAATCGATTCGGTTATTATGGCACAAATTATTGCGTTTCAAATGACATTTGTTTATTTTTAATTATGTTTCTTTTGTACTTGTGAAACATTCAAGTAGAATAGAGATTAATTAATGATGGTTTTATAGGTATGACAGCAGTTTCTTCTACAAGAGATGCTTTTAAGACGGCGACATCAAATATTTCTCCGAATGAAAGATCAAGAACAGACGGGTTTGATGACATAAGGCCATCACAGTCAATCACAGAAGAACAAAACTACCATACTTACGACCTTATATCGGTATGTTTACTATACTTTTGTTTATGTCATTTGATATAAAAAAGAAGAGGTGGTGTGATTGCCAATAAGACAACTCTTCACAAGAAACCAAATGACACAGAAATTAACAACTATAGTTCACCGTACGGCCTTGAACAATTAACAACGCCCATACTGCCAAGTCTGCTATAAAAGGCCCCGAAATGACAAATGTAAAACAAGAAAAGTAATAGCCTAATTTATGTACAAAAAGAATGAACGAAAAACAAATATATAACACAGCAACAAACGACAACCACTGATTTACATGCTCTTGACTTGGGACAGGCACATCCATACAGAATGTGGCGGGGTTAAACATGTTAGCGGGATCCTAACCCTCCCCTAACCTGGGACAGTCGTTTGTCTAAAAAATTATAATGCATACTTTTTTGTTGGTTTTCTGTTTTGAATTGTTCTAAGCTGGTCACTCTTTTTCGAGTTTTAGTTACGTTGATTTATCTTCGTAATAGATTCACGGTAAATATCTATGTGTGCAACTAAAGGTGTAATACAACCAAATCAAAGTACGTCACACCCGGTTGCATACGAAAAAGGGTCGAAAAAAATCTTCCATTGAATTTGGCAGTTGTAGGAAATTCATCCTACATTTCATTGCAGTAAAAAAAATCTAGGTCATAAACATATATCTTCGGTGTTTCAACGCACCATTATTTTTCATTTTGTGTTTCTATATAATATTTTGGGATCTTGAGGTTACATTGTTACTTGTATCTAAAGCTTGTACACAGGTAAAAAAAGAGGTGAAAATTTGATTGGTTAACTTTCAGTGATGGTTATTTACTTGAATGAAATGAAATATTATCTGAAATTTTGTTTGTAGTACTGGACTGGACTAAATTTTACTCATGCCAAGCATATCTTTATTTGAAACAAAGATACATTCTGCACATTTTTTGGAAAGTGCAATTTGGGGGATGATTACATTTTATGAAGTAAATTTGAAAATGACTAATTATTATCATGATTATACACAAAATTTAATCTTTATAATGAAGATTTTTAACCTCTTTTTTATTATTATCTTAGGAGTGTATATTAGAAAAAACCGGAAACAAACGGGTTGTATATGAATGTGACTTCCATATCGATTTTTCATTTCTGTTCGATAGTCGACCTTTTGAGACTTAACTGAAAGATTCTTGTCAGTAATCGTGCCCAACCCTGGGACAGTCACAAAAAGAATGTGACTAGTTTAAATATGATTGTGAGTGCCATCACAAATCTATAGGGTCCTCTTGCCAAATCTTATGACGTTAACAATTCAGAGTTTATGTAGTTTGCTAGAAATTGTTCTGGTAAACTACTCTAAAAAAGTGACAAAAATACTGAACCCTGAAGGTGATTTCAATATGGGGAAAATAAAAAACCAAACTTACAAAATCAAACGTTAGACTTTATCAACCAAAGATGATAATTTGAATGATTATTTGTATTGAAATAAATATTTTTTATAGACAGAAATTCAAGATGAACCACGAGTCCAAGGTTATTTATCCTATTTTTCAACTTTTGCTGGAGAAAAAATTACTGATCGCTATGCTGGAGGTATGTGTCGTTGCATATAATGTTTATATACATATATACTCGATATCAATAAATAAAGATTGTAGAACATACAATGTAATAAGTAAATTAACGAAAATAACGAACTACAAGAACAATTCAAATCCAAAAGGAAAATCAAAAGCTCAAACACACCAAACGAACGGAAAACAACTGTCGTATTCCATGTATTCCTGACTGCGATCAAGCATTTCCTTATATAGAAAGTGTTGGATTAAACCTGCTTTTATAGCTAGCTAAACCTCTCATTTGTATGACAGTCGGATAAAATTCCATAATATTAAGCAATGTGTGAACAATCAGACATGATACGTAAAAATGTCAAAATTAGGGATACAGCAGTAAATATTGTGTCATCGAACCTATCTTCAATACAATGTACATCATTCAATTAACCAAACAAACCAATCTGATAAATACATGAAATAGAGTAAATGAATGCAAAATTTGTCAAATTTTAAAGTATGCAAAATTTCAATCAATCAATAAACCTAGTGTTATGAAGGAGTTTATGATACTTCGTGTTATGCAAACAATTAACCAACCAACCAACCTACTTATAATCATGTCAGAAAATGTGAAAAATCCTTCACTCAATTTTGTTCAAATATTTATTTGAAGCAATGTTATAAAAGCTGTTTTTTCGTACAATACTGAATTGTTTGAGGTGAAAAGGAATGTAAAAAAAACACGTTTATATTGGACAGTACTTGCTCTTCAGCTTAAAATTTTCAAATCATTTCATATATTTACAGAAAAAATCAAACAACACTCACGAGTAGTTAAAACATCATGGACACCCAAGGCAGATATGCAGTTAGGCACAATAGTCAAGGTGAAGAAATCAGGAAAAGAAGTCCATGTGCAATGGGACAAGCTTGAAGAAAAAGTTAACCTGCTTGATCTACGCTTAGTTGACAATGCGCCAACAGGTATTCACCAATTACATTTTTCAACTTTTTATAATGAACGGGGCACCCACATTAACCACCGGCTTTTTCTGGAGGCTCTTGATGCTCAATACTTAGTTTTCTGTTATTTATCATTTCTATTTAACGTATACTGTAATCGGAGCAGAAAGCAATACTAACACTGTCAAATATAAGTGTTGTGTGTAACTGCTTCCGGGATTTATCTCTCGAGAGCAATTAGTTACATTATAATTTAATCATACTATTCAAGCATATTTCAGATTTTAACAATATCTCCAAAGACAGTTACTATCGATTCCAAATATATTAAATTTCATTTTTCTAAACACAAGGGAGAAGATTAGCACACCGAATTTTGAAATTACAAAAGATACAATTTGTGACATTACGGGCCAAAATTCGCAAAAATTGAAATGTGGCCTGTTAGGCCATTGCACGAAATTTAAGTAAACGCAACAAATATCAAAAGAAATGATAATTTGATCAATAGATTTCCACAAAATCAGAATCCCAGTTAACATGACCATTTTAAGTATTGAACTTCTGAATTCATAATTCCCGAAAAGATTTCACTTGGAAAACGTCAATTGTAAGTCACTTAACGACATGCATGGTTCAAAGTGTAAAATCGAATGAAACCACCATGTGCTTGGATGACGACCTTCACCCTGCATCTCATCCCTCCAGTCAATCGTCGAGTGTTCTGCTGTGGTAGCTGTCGCCATTTTAGGTGCAATACTGCTTCCAACTGATGTACATTTTGTCGGGGAGATTATACTGCCTGTTGACGACCGCCTACTTATCATAAACATGCTTTATTGGACTCAAATCCGGGCCAATGGATTCACTTTGAAGGTAGGCGGTTCGGCTATTGAACGCTGTCATCGATGAACACAGGTCTTGCAGCTATTGGATGATTGTCAAAATGGTGGACAACAACCGATTGAAAAACTTCTCTGATGTATTGATCACCTATTATGTTTTCTCATCTTCGCTAGCCAAGGGTTAAGATCCAGTTCCCTCTTCTCCATCCTTAGCAGATTAAGCCAATATTTGTGATTACAATGCTGCGCCATCTAACGGTAGACGAAAGTCACGGTTATTCAAAATGCATCATTCTTGACCAATGGCAACACACGAACTCACTTCAGTGTGGAGATGTAAAAATGGTTGTGTCTAGTGTTTACAACAGGAACAAGACAGGAGCCGAAAATATTGCATTGACATTCCAACATTTCCTCAAAAAACATACACAGGAACTTCAATTAGTTGATTAAGAACTTAAAAATTGTCACTAAATTTCATCCTATGTTTTTAGGGTAAATATTTGTTGCACAATCATCACGTGGCAATTGTTTATTTACATTTTCTACATTTACACGTGATCATCATAAAGGCGTATTTTGATTGGATGCAGCCAGTTATAACTGCGACCAATGGAAATTCTTACCTTAATCCGCAAAGGGTGGAGAGGAAGGGACTGGATCGTAAACCTTGGCTAATGAAGATGATGTTTCCTCGTATGGTCTCCAAACACTCAGTTGCGCATCTGTTACATGCAGCAGAAACCAACTCCCATCCGACCAATGGATCCTTAAAGTTCAAACCATGTCGTAGTAAACACCATGCCATACGCAATCGTAGATGTCGATCAGATACCATGGGACGTCTTATTACTTCCTGCCTTCCTGATTGTTTTTGATTAACAGACACCTATGAGGTAACCATTATCGTTTTAGAACAGAACTATTTAAAAATGGCATTCTCAGCGGGCGATGCTACGGGTGGTTTCCAGGATCTCGGTAGATAAAGGCAACAGTAGTATACCGGTGTTCAAAATTCATAAATCGATTGAGAGAAAACAAATCCGGGTTACAAACTAAAACCGAGGGAAACACATCATTTATAAGAGGAAAACAAAGGAGCAACAGGAACACTAGAGTGCAACAAAAACAAACGCCAACATACATAGAAACTATTTGATAACAACTGCCATATTCCTGACTTAATACAGGACATTTAAAGAAAAAATGGTAGGTTGAACCTGGTTTTATGGCTAGCGAAACCTCCCGCTTTTATGGCAATGTTATAAAATATCGCTAAAATGACAAAACTACATGACAGAAATACAGCACAAACACACCCAAGAACACTCATCACAGAGAAACGCAAAAACAAATAATATAATAGTCGACACAACATGCAAACCGCAGAACAGCAACGAACATCTGCCATCAACGACAGACACCACTACATCACAAACAGTGACACACTCAAGTAACTAACATGCAATCTCGAACTTTATACAGTTATTTTCACAATACCAGCCAAGACAATTTTCATGACAATGATGATATTGAAAGGCAATTTTGTAATAATTTGGACTACAAACGATAAGACATAACACATTATCCAACCGAAACCATATCAGAAACATCAAAAATAAATACATGAATGTTGGATGTACAAATTACCGAGACACGTCGTATAGCAATGCAAATTCACACTCGGTATAACAGTCATATTCGGGAATAGGTCATGTTCGGTATTTAGCAGAAAAACGACATAGATGTTAAACCACAATCTAGACGTTGTAAAAATGTCATTAGTAAGTTTAGTGATGGTGTCCATAAAATTTACGGAGTGTCATTTTTAATCTTTTCTCCTCATAACTCTGTTGGGGCAGTTTCTGCGTACGGAGCACACTCCTGTATATGAAGCCAGTATAGTGTGAACATGCACGAGCATAACGTATCAATTGAGATATGTAAACACCATACGACGAAGCAAAGGGTATGTTACTACTGAGAAATGGGAAATTGATAATTGGGAAGTTGAAATCATCGAGTTTTGTGAAGTTTTGGTATCCAGTATAATGACGGTAGATTTTCTTCGTTTTCTTTGATGCTAATACCAAATGAAAGAAGAATAGATTTGTGATTTTGTAAAATTTCATCCTTTGTAAAAGATGTTAAAGAATATGTAGGATTACCAGTTGTGTTGTTTATTCCAAGCTCTTTTGTGAGACATTGGAAATAATGGTTATTACATACGAAGACAATATTATTGGAGGCTTTATCTGCTGGAACAACGTCATATTTGTCATGCAAAGAGGATAAAGCATCTACAACCTCCGGGTTCTTGAATGGGTTAGAAACCCTTGTGCTCATAGTACATTGTAGTTTCTGAATGCGCTTCTGAATGCATGGGTAAGTCTTTCACGAAGTTTGTTTAGATGTGTTTCCTCCAGCTGACTGCAGTGTAGTGATACCCCATCTGACGTCCTAAATTCCTGAATTTTGGATATGGCATGGAAAGCATGATTCACGTGCATGCTACCACAATTTCTTAATTATCGGTCACAGCAGTATGGTCACATCTTTTTAATGGATAAATGTCTTGTTTAAATCAATATTTTCATTTGAGTTGAAATTCGTGGTAACATAACGTAATTCAATACATCATAAGGTGATTAACTTTTTTGTGTATAACAGAGTTTTTAGGTTTCACATATAGCATTTCAAATTATTGTAACGCTTGAACAATTGGTTTTTACCACTTTAACAACCTTCAACAGGGTGTAAATACACATTTGACTACTATAAACACTCTGAAACGCTTTAACTGTTCTAAGCTTTGGGACATATGGGTCATATGTTATATAACTGCTACAACTCTGGCTTGACTGTAACACACATTTCTTTTATTGTTGTCGCGCTTTTGAGCACTACAAGAACGCAAACGTTAAAGTGGGTTGCACTTTATTGTTGTTCTAGACCCTATCGCTATACGAAAAATGTTATCAATTGTTACCTCTCTTACAGCTATAAGTATTTAGTTTAGGAATCATTTTCAGTCATAGTTATGAAGTAAATGTAGATGATTTCGAGTTTTAGTTCTATTCAATAAAATAAAAAAAATGCATTCTTATCTATTTTCCCATTATCTAAAGGAACCCCCAAACACAACAAAAATAAGATAATAGTTCTATATTAGTATATTCTAAATAAGTGATGTTTTTTGTTTGCCTTTGACAAAAAGTTTACATGTTTTCAAGTTACATGTCATATTTTTACCTTGACAAACCAATGTAAAGAAACAAATATTTTTAAATAAATTATATAAGCATTTCTGAATAAATGTATTTTCTATAGAGAAAAAAGAAAAAAGTTCAAGAGTGGTATTGACATCGCGAACAACCATTAACAACAGTACAGTAAGCGGAATGCAAGTTGAAAGAAAAGTTAACCTACGTTTATTAGACAATGCACCCATGGGTATGCACTTCTTATATTTTTAGTTTTGATTGTGAACTCTACGTATTTGTACAACGGAGAGCCCAAATTAACTATATGATTTCAGGTATTCATAAAGGTCAATGTAAAGCATACGGCTCAATATATATGAAGCTCTGCGTTTTACATCAGTTCATGAAATATACAAAACAAAAAAAAAACAAGATGATGATTTAAAACAAATTTAGAAATTGTTAGTATTAAAACATAGCCAATAATTTATATGTGCCTGTTTCGAAACCAGAGGATCAAAAATGTATTTTCAATATTTTTATAATTAAATCTTTTGGCAAATATTTATACAATATTAGACTTTTGCAAAGCTAAAGCAGGCACATATTATATTTCTTGGTTGTTACAGCCTCAATGGAGAGTAAATAAAGATAATCGACTGTTTAAACTCTGCAATGCCTAAGAGGAACCAGTCTATGGTATACATTTTATACCACTGATACATTTTCGGACGGTTGCAATACATAGTTGTTTTATCTCTAATCAACACTGTACGATGAACCAAGTGTACGGGTAGGACAGTAGGTATCACTTTTGTATGCCAAATGTTAAAATATATTAAAGGTAGGTAACTGTAACAACCCTTTTAAAGTTGTTATATATTTCAACATGTGTGTTGGTAGTCATTTCATTCGTCAATGTTGTAATGACATGTCTATCACTGGCCTGTATTACCAGTTGTTTTCTGTGCAGTACTGTATTAGATGTAACTGATGTAAATATCTTCTTTTAGCTAAAAATAATCAATTGCAAATAAATCTCATCTGTCTTATCAATCCAATATAAAAAAAAATATTTTTGGCATATTTTGTATTAGACTAAATTTGATTGGCTTTCATTTCAAATTTCGAAGTTACATGTCAATATTATAGTTTAACCCAAAAATTCTAGAGGACAAAGTTTGACATTTACAGATAATTGTTTTATCATAGAAAAAATGGAACAGGGAGCAAGAGTAGTAAAGAAATCATGGACACCCAAAGAAGAAATGCCTTTAGGCACAATAGTTATGGTGAAGAAATCAAGAAAAGAAGTTAATGTCCAATGGGACCAGATTGAAGAAAAAGTTGACTTGCAAGATTTAAGATTAGCGTCAAGTTTTCAATGCGTTAACAGGTATTACCTTATTATATTTTTTATAAAAATTATTAAGAATGTAGCTGATATATTGAGAATTAAGTCAATTGCAACTTTAAGATCTTAACAAATATGTATACGGACTGAATACATATGTTACTGTTACTATTCTACTGCGGATAAAAAAAAATTACAAATAGCATCAACATACATATATTCCACTGCCATATAAGTACATGCATAACCTGTATTTCAAAATTCTTCAGTTTTACTCTGTTATTAAACTGGGCCTATGAGTGGCCTGCAGCATAAAACATAGTGAACCAACTAATAGCACTAATATTGTAGTTAGTCACATATTTTAAATTCTTGTGTAATTTATTTGCAACGGTGATTAATTTTATTAGAGTAATCAGTTACCGTATAATTAGTTATATTATTTTCCATCATTATTTCTTTTAATTAGAAACGATTCAAAATATACTTTGTTTCATTTTCTATGAAAGTCTTTATGTTAAATGCATGTCATTTTAAAAACTACTGAAAGGTAAATAAAGGCAACAGTAGTATACCGCTGTTCGAAATTCATAAATCGATTGAGAAAAAAACAAATCCGGGTTACAAACTAAAACTGAGGGAAACACATCAAATATAAGAGAACTACGACACAAAAGAAACACAACATTAAAATGTAACACACACAGAAACGAACTTTAATATAACAATGGTCATTTTCCTGACTTGGTACAGGACATTTTAAGAAAAAATGGTGGGTTGAACCTGGTTTCGTGGCTAGCCAAACCTCCCGCTTTTATGGCAATGTTAAATATAACATTAAAATGACAACATTACATGACAGGACTACAATACAAATAAATGGGAGAACATATAGGACAGAGAAACATACGAATAAAACAGCTTAATTTAATATTCAATATGTACGACTGAAACAGCTTGTTTTTGGGTGTAATTAAAAATGGGGCCTTCTTTGATTCATAAATGCTTGAACTATCCCAATATGAGAAAACCATTTTATAGAACTGGTTCAACTTTGGACAGGCTGTCACATGGTGTTTTTACTGTTGCAACTATTTATAACACTGAAAGAATACTTAATGGACGATGGGTTGGACATTTTTGTATGCCAAAAAGTTACAATCAAAATAGCTGTTATAACCTTTGCAACATCCGATATCACCCACGGTTTTCTGTAGGGCTTCGTTTGACTCTGTCTTTAGCTTGTTCAGTTATCTTTGTTGTTTCCTATACTGTTGTTTGTCTTTTGATCGTTTTTCAGGTTTTGCCATAGCATTGTCAGTTTGTTTGTGACTTATGAATTTGGTTATCCCTTGGTATCTTTGACTCTCTTTTACAGCTATTACCATATAGTTTGACAATCAATTGCACTCATCCTTATCTTAATAAAATGACAGTCATTTTCATGAGCAGCTCTTTTTCCGAGCAGTAATAGATTAGTATTACCGAATTCAAATTAAATTAGAAAATGAAACATATCAGTCTTATTACTATTTCCAAATCTTTGGGATAAATGAAAGTTCGTAATATTAATATATATTGTATGAGTTTAGATTTAAATATATCTGGCTTAAACTTGGCATAACACTCGAAAGTAATAATTTCCTTTCTTTCAATATAACATGCATAGAACCAAATGTTAACAGTTTTACAGATTGCATACTTTAGTTGAACATTTTCGAGTATTTGTTTTATTTATAGTGAAAAAAAGGAAGGTTCAAGAGTAGTAAAAGTGGAATCGACAACCAAAGAAGAAAGTTCTCTAGGCACAATAATTAAGGTCAACAAAACAAAACAAACAGCTCGTGTTCAATGGGACAAGCAGCCTGAAGAAAAAGTTAAGCTGGTTAAACTACGTTTAGTCGGCAATTATCTTACAGGTATTAACTAATAATATCTTTAAAACTTTTAATTGCTTACTCTATATATTTTCATCAAAACGAAAGAATAAAAGGTGATTCCAGGTATTTGAAAAGTTTAGCACACACTTCAAAATGGTTATGGAGATCTGCGTCCCAAATAAGGTCATGAAATTTATTCCATAACTTAAAAATTTATATTTCTACTATACACATACTGAATTTTAACTCTGTTTAAACTTTCTTTTGTTTAGTTCTCTATATTTTTCAATCATGTGTTAGGAGCAAGTGAAAAAAAATTACACTGAAAAACATTTTTTGGTAAGCTATTACGATACTGTAGCTATTCTTGTGTAATTTACTTGGCTTTGGTGATTAATGTGATGAGAATTAATCAGCTACCATATCATGCATATAATGTATTCAAACTATTCAAACGTTAACATCAAATGAGTTCAATATTTATATCTTCAAAAATGATTTTAAATTATTCACAAAATATATTTTTTTACATTTTTCTATATGTTTACATGCATCAGGTTTTGAAATTCCTGAAATTCATAAGCAGCTAGGTGTTTGTGATATTGTACGACTCTGAAATAATTTCAAGAGATATGATCTACGATTTTGATTTTGGGTTTGACTATGCGGTAATTTTATAGATGTAAGTAAACAAAATTGTTTCATGTCATTTTGTTACTGTAATAAACGCAATTAAGACAAAATACTGTATGTTCTATTTGACAAACGATGAATAAAGACAACAGTAGTATACCGCTTTTCAAAAGTCATAAATCGATTGAGAGAAAACAAATCCGGGTTACAAACTAAAACCGAGGGAAACACATCAACAATAAGAGAAAAACAACTGAACAACAGAAACACTGAAGTGCAACAAAAACAAACGCCAACATACATAGAAACGGGCTATTTGACCTTCAAGAAACATTTGTATATAGATTACACTTAAGCTTGACATCTTCGAATGATTGTTTTCATTTATAGATAAAATAGAGAAAGGTTCTAGGGTAGTTAAAAGATCACAGACAACTAGAGAAGAAATACCTTTCGGCACAATAGTCAACATAAATCAATTCAAAAACGAAGTTCAAGTTAAATGGGATAAGCCTGAAGAAAAAGTTGACCCGCTTGACCTTCGCTTATATGATAATGCGCCATCAGGTAGTAAATAGTTATAATGTGTAAATTTGATATATGAATTATATTTGCTTAATTTCGTAAAGGCATTATATTCAGTATAACGGGAAAAATGCAAAGCTTTCGTTGATTCGTTATCTTTAATATCTCTTTGGTATATTCCGATTCTCTTTTTAATAGTTGCAGGGAGGTTTTTAATTATCAAAAAGTTTACAAAACCGTACAGAAAGATATATTTGATCCAGTATATACTTTTGTTTTGTTTATCGATTTTCCTTCTATAAAGCAAAGTTTACTTTGTCACTATTATAACCATCTCAACTCCCTCAGGCAAAGTTGAATTCAGAAGGATTTGTCTATTATGTTTATGTCCTTTTTTAACATATAGCTCTTCATCTGTTTCGTTTCTTATAAATCCTAGTCTTTCAAACATTTAGCATTGAGTGATCATGATGATGGCAAATCCAGCAAAATCGCTTTGTTCTCTTAATAAAGTGGTTTTTTTTATTTATATACTTAGCACATGCATATACAAATTACAAATATAACGATAATGCGAGGTAGGTCATAAAACAAATATACCATGAGTAATTTAAAAGAAACAATCGAAGGAATACAACAAACATCATGGCAAAAATATGAAACACAACAATATGAGGTAGGTCATAAAAATAAAATAAAATATACCATGGGCAATTAAAAACAAACATCCAACAAATACAACAAATGGCAAAAATATGAAACACAACAATTTTTAGTCAACAACATAAAACAACAACCACTTTGAAGAATATGAACCACAAAAGCAACCAAGGGTATACTTTGATGTTTTAGAAACGTCAACAGTTCTTGGTAGTTATTTGAGACATACTAAAAAAAGCACCACACAATAGCAGATGGATCAATATCTTTGTAGTACTATATAATTTTCCCTATGCGTACTTGACAATAATAAAATATAAATGACCTTACCAAATACAACATCAACATCAAAAAGTTTAAAATGAAACACATTTTTTTTCTTTATGACGAAAAGAGAATGAAATTATAAATAGAACACAAATACAACACATACGATTGATTCAAAAACAAAACGAACGCTATAAACAAAGTAGGAATGAACACAGATTATCAGGGAGGGTGCGCGGATCTGTAAAAATATAACAGCAGCTCCTGAATTGGGTGTATATATTTCCCCGATAATATGATATTCCAGAGCTTCCGTTTAGTCTCATAGTTTAAACATATTTTATTGTTCATAATCTAAAAAAACGGACGAAACACACTTTAAACAACTAAGTAGTTTCTTTCTCTATCATGGTTTCATTGAAAGAGAGTATCTGCTATTATAAGAAAAGTATTTAACTGAGGGTTGTAAGCGATATATTTCAAGTTTTCCCTTCGGACACCATCACGATATGGTTGACCGTTATAGAATATCTGTGTTTCAGGCGACCAAGCAAATGTTCCAATTGTCTTAACCAATCCTTCGAAGGTGACATCACCGAGTGATATTTATCTTAATCAACAATTTTTCTACATACGGAAATACCTGCACCAAGTTAGAATTATGACAGTTGTTTTCCATTCGTTTGATTCGTTTGGGCTTTTGACTTTGCCATTTAATAAGGGGATTTCCGTTTAGAATTTTCCTTGGATTTCGGTATGTTTGATATTTTACTTTTTATCACCGAATGTGTACTTACCATGAGACATAATTAGGCGTAATCAATAAAATTATTTAAAGCTTAAAATTCTTTACATGACAAAAACACTAAGATTATAAATTGTTTACATGTCATTTTGGGACCTTTAATGTCTGACTATACGGTATGAGTTTTGCTCATTGTTGAACTGTACGGTGAACTATAGTTGTTAACTTCTATGTCATATGGTGTATTGTTGTCTCATTTGCAATCATACCGCATCTTCTTATTTTTATATTACATGCAATAATGAGGACTCCATTCTTTATTATGTCTTTCATTGAAAAAAGTGTTTTAAAATAAGTAAAAGTATAGTCAACGTAAATTTTTCAATGGTAATTCAATTTGCTTTAAAGTAGAAACAAAAAACAATTAAAAAAAAATAAAAAAAAAAAAATGAAAAAATTGTTTCTCCATACATTTACAAGTAATGGCAGAGAAGTCAATTTTTGTTGAAAATATTTCTATTATGTTGTAATTGGTGATAGTAAAAAACACCTTGTCCTCGATTAAAAACAAATAATCGTGATCATTATTTGCCATTGTTTTGTAATCTCAAATGATTTTGGTAATGTCTCTATAGTAGTTTAGCATCTTATGTTTCTACGTTTTTATTTTCAAATAATTTCAAATAAATTCTGGAGTTCAGATGTTTACGTTTGAGCTTTCTTGATGAAGATAGTTCCAGAAAATCGCGTCGGACGCAGAAAATATATCAAGTTTTGTTTTCATCTACCATGAACACTGAACAGTATCGACAGAACAAATTCGAGGTGAATGAAAACAATAGAGTGAAAAGAAAACCCTTATAATTATTGCACCAAGTCATGTCAATGTTTTACAACAAAATAGCTACAAACAAAAACACAATCATTTGAAATATACGTGAAATAATATTATGACCATGAACTCTCACTAGATTTCAGCAGATTAGAAGTAATTTTTCCACTGAAAGATTTTTTTTAACTAAATCAGATATGCCTACTGTATTGTATTATGTATGGTATTTTTAAAATGTATTTTCGTTTTGTTCAAGGTGTAAAGCATACTAACGTAACATGCGATGAATGTTATACATATCCTCTGCGTGGCATACGATGGAAATGTCTTCACTGCGACAGCTACGATCTTTGCACCGTCTGCTATATGGTTGATGAACACAATGTAAATCATATCTTCAGTCGTATCCAAAGTGAGGATTCAAAAGGGTAATAATCCGCTTTAATTATTCATATTCTCCATTATTTTTTGCTTTTTATTCTATACATTATTTATATGGGCTTCAGTGGCCGAGTTGTATAAGTAGTCCAATTACTGTATCAATAGCCTGTCAAACCTGTCAGTTCGATTAAAATCTTAATCGACTAGGATTGCAAGCTTTCCTACCGAAGGTCGATCTCCCTCCTTGCACTCCGGCTTCCTCCACCATAGAAACTGGCCTCCTTTAAATAGCCAACATTTCTGAAAGTGGCGTTTAACACCAATCAATCAACCAATTAATCAATTAATATATATAATTTTGTTTTGTTTTTAAAGACAACAATGTTTTATTTTGTTTGTTTTTAAGTATATCGTTTTAAGCGAACGTACGTAATGAAGGATATTTTTGAATCATGATTCATACTGAAACAGAAGTCGATTAACTGACATGTACGAAAGTGATTTTATAGCTAGCTAGATCTGACACTTATATGCCAGTCGCATAAAATTCCATTGTATTGACAACAACGTCACGTGTGAGCAAAACAAACAGACGTGATAGGTAAAAATGTGAAAAATTGGGATACAGCAGTCAATATTGTTATAATCTTAATCTCTAACTATATTAACAAGCAAGCAACAAAGCAAAGCAAGCATGGAAAACAAATGGCTTATAGAAACTCTATACTCAAATCACATTAGTACAAATGAAAGACGAAATACAAAAAAAAAAACAAAAAAAGAAAACTACCATAGCACAATAACAGAATGGCGGGATGTATAAATACCGAGCCACGTTAATAAGATATTACCCCAAAAAAAACCAGTAAAGGTTAAAAACATAGAAAGACATATGAAAAGAACACTTTAACTTAACTTAATTAAGACGATACACAACGTCAATACCAATAAACTATACTTCAAGACCATGTTGAATTATTTGTGAAGTTGATACGGGATTTTTATCAGCAAGGTCTTTGTATTATCTGATGAAATATATAAGAAGATGTGGTACATGTGTGAGTGCCAATGAGACAACTCTCCATCAAAGTCACAATTTGTTAAAGTAAACCACTATAGGTAAAAGTACGGTCTTCAACACGGAGCCTTGTCTCACACCAAACAGCAAGCTATAAAGGGCCCCAATGACTAGTGTGAAACCATTCAAACGGGGAAACAACGGTCTAATCAAAATAAAAAACGAGAAACGAGAAACACTTATGAATCACATCAACAAAAGACAACCACTGAACATCAGGTTCCTGACTTAGGACAGGTGCAAACAAATGCAGCGGGTTTCAACGTTTTAATAGGTAACAACCTTCACCCTTACCTGAAACAATAGTATAACATCATAACCTGGAAAGACACACTATAAAATATCAATTGAAATGGCTTAACTCAATCAAAAGACATATTAACACAAACAAGTGAATATACACTGAACGAATAACTTTGATCTATGACACAATGTTAATACAAAATCAATAAAATAAGGAACTTGTTTTTAGAAAAAGCACCTAAACCCGGTTCATCAACTTTCTGTTTAGACAGTGGTGACGTTTAATAAAGTCTGAGTAGCAGCTGCAAGCTCTTGAATACCGAATGAGTTGCAAATAAAGTATACATACGTTCTCGTTATACCAAATTGACTACAACCAAAAATATTTGCACACAATAAGCTCATTTCATAAAAAAACTATTTTGTCTCTGTGTTACAGGAAAGAAATATCACCACGGTTTGATGTAAACCTGACTGGCTATGCATTTGCATGTGGCATACTAGAGAATGCAGAAGTTTCGCTTCGGAAAGATATCAGAAAAAGAGGTATACAAATTACAGCTTGACAGTCATGTTTGAGTTTAACCTTGTTTAATGTTTCCTTCTGTGGAAATTTTCAAGAAAATATTTCGGATAAACATTACTATATGTACATGAAATTCTATAATGTCTCTGTGCGATCACAGCCTATTTTCTGGCTGTTTAAGGAATACTAAAATTAGTATAATTGCCCTATCTTGCAAGTCGATTGGTCATTGACAAAAAGGAACAGATTTCATACCGCGTGTTTGCTGACCAGAACATGTAAACACTGACTATGCTAAAAACATTGATCGTAAAAGTAAAATGGTAACTATATAGGTTGCACTTTGTAAATAAAGCTGTTACATAAACTATGCCTCTTTTGGGGAGATATATAATATTCATAGATATTTTGTTTTGTTTACGTACTGGTTCATATATATGATCTCTATTTTTCATCTCCTAGAGACATAACTTGGGGATGTTACCAGTATAACTGCACATGGTAGTCGGTGGAATTGAATTCATAAAGTTAAGAGAGGGGTAGTGCAGAAATTTAGCATAAGTTTGAACTCGTAGAAGTTCGAGGCATATAAATGTTGAAAATATGCCGCACAGCGCTATGTTTTGACCTTTGAATAAAAAAGTAATGCATATCAACTTTCCATTCTAGGATATAATATTTTACGAAACTTCATATTAAAAGTGGCAAAGTTTTAGTCGTAAAGGGAGTTATTATGGGAAATTGCATTGTCTATATTTACAGAAATGTAACCTATAGAGGAAATTATGTGATGAGAATCTTTTAGGAGGAAGTCATTGCTATCAATGATTTATCTATTATCACAAGTAAACACGTATCAAGGATGGATATAATTACTGAAAAAAGTTATAAATCATTAACCGATTCCTTGAAGGATTATTTTGTTATCAATTAAAATTCGGTTACTCTTTATTTTTATGTAATAGAATACAATTGCCAGTCATTTTCTTAGATGGACGGTCTTACTGAGGATTCGAAATATTTTTTTTTAAATCGTGTAGTTTTGGTAAATAACAAGAGAGAGTGGTGGACAAGTAATATTGTAATGACTTGGACCATCAAACAGATCATGTAATTTAAACTATTTGCTCCACATTTTGCACTTTGATATATTGACTTAAAATTCATAATAATTTTTTGCGGTTTCCTATGAAAAATATTAGAAAATATTTCTTTTGTTAAATTAGATAAACAGTTCAAATTAAATCAATGATAACATGCATGGATTTATAAGTTCCTTTGGATAAAACTTATAAAGGAGTAAAAGTAAATAATAACCTAGGGAAATATGATAGCAATTGCACACTTAATTATCATGATTAGACATAATTGGCATCAAAACAAAGTATGCACGTCATTGATCAAAAGTGATTGATCATCTGATCAAAATTAATAAATATATAGTGAGTTTCAAAGGAGACCGTATATATTGCTGAGCAGGAATTGCAATGCATTGTTTAATTGTCACCTATTAACTGTAAAGCAATATGGTAACATGTAAGTTTAATTCACATACGTACAAAATCATTGCAATTCTATGTGTCAGGGATTGAGTATTATTTCATTCGTCACTTCGAATTCCGTAAATACATTTCCTGAGATTTTCAAACAGCCGTTGTTGATTTAGCTATTTATATTCTGTTGTTATTATTAGGTTTTCACACGTTAACGTTGAAATTTACAGCACCATGGACTCTTTTACTGTTAATTATATATAATAGATGTTTCAATTCAAGGTGTAGTACTGGCAATACGTGAGGATTTAATTGACGTACAATGGTTGACTAATAATAAAAGAAGTCGACACAATATACTGGAATTACAATGCGAGAATGCGGAAGCACGGCAGTTTTATCCGGATCATCTGCCGATACTTGGAAAAGGTTACAATAATTTACTCTCTAACTCAAGTATTGACTTTATATATTTATCGATCAAACAGTTCAAGGTAACATCCCAATAGTTGACACTCAATAAATATGGCTCAATTTAGAAACTACTGAAAAACATGTTTTTTTTAAGTTTAATCTTAATTCATAACATATCGGAAGGAAGTACGACTACATGTACCGTTGTTGCAAAGCACATGTGTGTATAGTTTTTACCTTTGACGGACCGTCAAAATTTTGAAAGCGCAATACAGAACATTTAATATCGGAATCTTATATTACATTTATATATCTAAATATTTGTGGAACGATACTGGTCAAAGTAAATAATATAGGAATAATATAATACCAATTATATCGTATAACCAAATATTTCAGCACAACAACTGACCATTATCAGTGTCAACATTTTTTTCACATGCAATGATACAATTTACAAAACGCATCCCGTTTATAAAAAAAGATTGACACTGACATATATAGATAAACGCAATTGAAAGTTGAGCGCTGTAGTCATGCTGAATGTTCAGTATTATCCGATCTTATGTATTCAATGAAAAGTGACCAAGAGAGAGGTTAAACAAGAGAGGTATTAATAATTTTCATATAAAGATTTTGGCATAGGTCGAGGTCATATATTTGTCCCCGTTGTTTGTCCATTGGAGATAGTGTTTACCATTAAATGAGAAATTCTGTCAGGAGACAAAAATGAAGGACGTCGATAAGAGAACACATGAATTCGACGTAAATGAGCAAACAGGGTCTTCGAACAAAGCGTAACTGGCCGTAACATTTGTTTTGGCTATCAAACACGTGCTTCAAATGCTTTTTAATACATTTTCATTTTTATTATTCACATAGATACTTTAGGCCACCTTGACGTTGATTTCAGCCACAACAATATAACAGAAAAGGTAATTTAAATATGCACGTACACTGTAGGTCATTTGATTAATAGACTATATATTTTCTAGAATTTTATACAAGTAACAAAGATTTGAACATAATATCCTATTTATCCCTTGTCTTTAAATGATCCGTTTCATTATGGAATATTTAATACTATCGAGTCCAAATAAAAAATTGTAAACAACACGTTTAATAATTTCATGCGTCTGAAGCGCTTTTCTGGATTTACCTTCATCAGGAACGCTCAAAGCCAAACATTTGAAATCCGAGGGATGTATAAGTACCGAAACAGTTGAAGAGCTATATGACAAAAATACCTAAAACAAATAGCCAAATCCATCCAAGGTCAACTTTGCCTGAGGGAGTTGAAACCTTAGTTTCTTGATAATTTCAAAATTTGTAAAACGGGCAATTTTAGAAAAGTTTGTTATAAATCATGTCAGTACCGAAGTACTGACTACTGAGATGATGATACCCTCGGGGACTGATAGTCCACCAGCAGAGGTATCGACCCAGAGATGTAAAAAATTGAAAACAACACGTTTAATAATTTCATGCGTCCGAAGCGCTTTTCTGGATTTACCTTCATCAAATAATGTTTGCCTTGGAAGTATCGACACATTGACTATAGAAAGTTTTAAACACATTTAAAGTTAAGTATCACTGAACCAAAGATTGATCTATTTTGTAAACTATACATATTAATAGAATAAATCAATATGCGAATTTAATGCATGCGGCTATATTATCTATCATTCGAAGCTAATTATTTGATTTTCTTTCTGTCTAGAAGTCCAAATTTGAACGGTGCAATTTTCCGTTAATACAAGTTAAAGGGTACAAAAATGAACATTTCTATATTTTGAAACAAATTAACAAAAATGAAACAAAATGACCTTCATGGGTCTTATGTGGTATTTTTTTTTCTAAAAATCGTTTGAATCATATACAATAATTAAGCATCAAAAATCAAATTAAATGGTTAAATGCGCAATAATTACAGAAAATTGTAACTCTTAAAAAATACTCCAAAAGAGAATTAATTGCTATAAAGATAAAATATGTTTTGGTGTCTGCATCCTAATATTAACGATATTCATTATTTTCATACCTTAAAACAGCTAACAACGCTGTATTTTTGCAAATGATGGAATTTCGGGAAACAGTATAAGTTGTTCTGAATAGTTTTTAGATTAGCAACCAGCTTTACTAGGGTCAATTGACGATGTCAAAACATTTCTTCAAAATATAGCGGAATGTTGAGAAACTTTAGGGTCATGATGGGTGTTCTGAATAGTTTTTAAACAAGCAATCAGCTTTACTAGGGTCAATTGAGGATGTCAATATCTTTCTTCAATCAATGGCGGAATGTTGAGAAACTGTATGGTCATGATGGATGTTCTGGATAGTTTTTAAACTAGCAAACAGCTGTACTAGGGTCAATTGAGGATGTCAATATCTCTCTTCAATATATGGCAGAACGCTGAGAAACTGTATGGTCATGATGGATATTCTGAATATGTTTTTTTAAACTAAACTAACAATCAGCTTTACTACGATCATTAGAGGATGTCAATATCTTTCTTCAATATATGGCTGAATGTTGAGAAACTGTATGTTTTTTTTTAAGTAGCAATCAACTAGGGTCACTCGATGATGTCAAAAACTTTCTAACCACTAAATAAGGGATATCATTTGTGTTTACCATTTTGGGTAAATTACAGTTTAATAACATACAAATATTTAAATTTGTCTTTATTCTTTATCATTTTCACTGGAATTTCTCTCGAAAAATTATATATTTTATAGAAAAAAAATAATAAATACGTCAATCTTGTTTCAAATGGCATTTGATGAGTGACTATAAATCAATGTCTTAACGTTTTTCCTGCATTTCATACATTGCTTTATTATTCAGAAGACATAATGGGCAAAAATACTGATATTGGCCGTCTTTGAGCTTTGATCTTAATTTGCACCATACGAATGTTTGACGAACGCATAAAAAAGATACATGTAGTTCAGATGATATGCTTTAGAATGGTTATTATTTAGCCGTATTTAAGGTTGGTAAATTGAGAATATACTTTAAGGGTATGTATAAAAAAAATTGGCCACTAACAGTATTATAATCTCGGTAATAGAATTAAATTGTATAAAATATTTTATACTATAGAAGTGATTGTAAATGTTCATTTAAGTAAGCTATAAAACAAGGTTTAACCCACCATGTTCTTTCAAAAAATGTCTGTACCAAGTCGTGCAGGAATATGGCAGTTGTTTTTCACTGGTTCCGTTGACTCAAAGCATTTAATTTTGTCAGTTTTGTAGGACTTCCCCTTTTTGAATTTGCCTCGGAGTTTGGTATATTTGTTATACTTTTTTAAATACAAATTGAATTATACAGATTCAGGTGAACATTCGGTATCGGATTGAAAAGGAACAGAAACGATCATACAAACCTGTGTTGTACCTCATTTTTGCAAATAATCAAGACATAGATCACAAAAAAGACAGATGTCTCCTAATGGATGAAGTCTTTGAATATTCAAGTAGGTAACTCTAAACTTTTAACGTAATAGTGTAAGTATGCATTCATCATATGTCTTTTATATTTATAAATCTTTGATTCTCTTCTCTATCGTGAAAAACGTATCGCAAGAATTATTTTTTTATAAGCTAGATTAATATCATTTCTTGATATAATTCCGATTTTTTTGTTAATATTAATAAATTAATGACATTATGATAGAAAAATATTATTTTTATTTAGAAATTTAGTATGTAATATATGTTTCATATTTAACGAAGGTAATAATAAACCTGACAGATTGCATTCTAATATGTTGCCCTCTCCTGTTTTATAAAGGCTGAATAATGTAAAAAGACTGACTTAATATCCAAATATGTAGGAAATTGACTACTTCGATTCCGTCTTAAAAATGTTGATATTGAATTCAATTATCAAATGTATGGATACTTTAAGATTAGATTATTGTCATATCTCAACGATTATCTTACAGAAAAGACAAAACTGGCATGCCATGTCATCGGAAAGAAGGTATTGTTTCTGCATGGTTCTTCACGAGTTGTATGTATTCACCATACCACTAGTAATCATACAATCAAGGTAACTGCAGATTACATTTAAGTATGCGATAGCAAACTAATTTGTTTTACATACAAACATTTTTAATTTCAGCTAGCATCTGTTTCTTTGCATATATGATTCATATTTTGAATGACACAAAATGCATCACATTCCAGCTCTTAGATAATACGCAATAAAACTATACTCATCATACAGTTTCCTTTAAATCTAATCGCAAAATGATAGCATCAACGGTACCAAAAAGTAAAATCACAAAAATACTGAACTCCGAGGAAAATTCTAAAAGAAAAGTCCCTAATCAAATGGCAAAATCAAAAGCTAAAACACATCAAACGAATAGATAACCAATTTATATGCACCAGATGCGTATTTTGGCAATTAATGTCTCTTCAGTGATGCTCGAAGCCAACATAATTGAATACCTTCAAACAGTTACTCTTTGAGCAAGTCGTGATTGACTAACATTTTTAATTTGGGAATACAGACTTTGGTTATACCCTAAAGTCCAAAATAAAAGTTTATATATATATATATATATATTGTTTTAATTTTTCATGCATTTATGCATCAACTTTCTCAAAAAGTGTTGACAAATACACAACTACTATAGATTGATCAGTTAATAAGTTCCTAACTGTTTGATAAACTTTAAATGGTCTCTCGCATACTTCATGAATATTTTTATTCGAGAAACACATGTGTCATTACCAACTTTGATTTAATGATGAACATTGTCTTAATGTGTCTTTGTCGTGTTATCAATACTAAGATTGTTCCATCGTACGGAATTTTTTTTCACACGTTAGGTCTCGAGGATGACGGTTATTCCAATACGTGTTTTGTGCATGGACATTGATATCAGATATTTGAAAAACTAAGCTTGAAAATACAAATGTTGTAAAACGTGTAGGATTACATTCCCTATCACCAAAATGATTGAAGATTTTTTAGATTAATATAGAAATATCCATGCTCATAGTTTAAGCTGTTTTTGTTTTTTTATTTTTCATCTGTGTTATGTCTTCATTTGTACATATGTTTTTTTACTGTGTTATGTATTGTCCTCTGCATTTCATTTATTATTTTCAATTCAACATAATATGTCAAAATCGTTTGTTAATAGTTAGTTGATGTAATGAACTGATATACATTAATTTAATCATGAATAGGAATTAGTAAAGAAAGGATTTCGAATTTTCGAAAGAGGGGATACAAACACCAAAGAAAGTGAAATCAAATACTTCATTAGAATGGCAGAATGTAAGTATTCCAATAATTTCAATGTGGGTTGGTTGAGAACAAAACTTACAACAAAAGAGATGATTTCTGTTTCCTAATTATGAACTTGCAATTTCTATGTAGCAACACTTGAGCAGCACCTGCATATGGAGTATATATATCCAAGTTGATACGATACTCCAAGACTTATGTTTATTTATCATGTTTAATTTACGACTTATGAGATTGAATATCCCTTTAGTATCTTTCGTCTTTCTTTTGAAAGAAACATATTCATATATATCCAAAAATAAGCGGACATAAAACAAGGACATTCCATGTTTTGTACAACAGAGGATAAATAATTCGAATGGGTCAAGAGTGTTCATTTTTTATCTATTTTTGTTTGAATTCAGAATTGTTAAAGTATTTTACCAACGTACGGCTATGATAAAGCTAATTGCATTTATTAAAGCGTTTTAATTTCAAATCTCTTTGTTCTTTTTTTTATGAAAACAGCCTTATTTTCCAATTTCATTAAAACCGTGTCTTCATTTCTCTAAAGTTCCCGTTGTAGGTTATATATGTTTTATATACCAATGGTTTATAATAATTAAGGGTTAGACAAGATCCTTGGCATACATGACTCATCGTGCATTTTAATTGAAGAAACATAAAGGCCGGTATTAGTGTTGATGGAATTTCTGACCATATCCGAACATCTCCGGTTTTTAGGTGGGGATCGTGTTGCTCAATCTTTATTTTTGTTGAAATTTTATTAGACTGGTTTTTGTCCTTTCGTCATTTTGTCTTTCTGCTATTTTTCATTGACGATCGATTTTGGAGTAGCCGCTCAGTATAACACCCTTTTGAATTTGGTTGAAAAAAAACTCTCTTGATTATGCATATACAATGTCAATATATAAAACTAATTACACACTGAATGAAAAATGTATTGAAAATGAAATTTCTGAAAATATAAACTCATGTTTTTGCCAACGTATTCATGTTAACAAAAACACTAAAACAAATTGTTCAACTAATGTTTCACTACTCTGTCAACACGTAGGTAGTGAGTTTGAACCCAGCATGCTGCATGTTTCCCCGACTCGAACCATAACTGAGACAGATTGTCAGATTTGCTGCCGAAGATCGTTGTTTTTTTCTTGGCATTCCGGCTTCCTCCACCAATACAAACTGACCGCCACAAAATTGACAATAGTGCTGAAAGTGGCGTTAAACACAATTCAATTATCCAAATAATCAACAAATATGATTGTTTAAAGCCTTACAGCTATAAGTAAATGGTCAATGTTATTTCAGGACAGTGACAAGCTAAAGTATATTAAATTTATTTTTCTTTTTTTCATTTCTGATTCAGATTTTTTTTTAATGTCCTAGCATATATTTGTCCCCAAGAAGACGCGTCAAATTACTCGTAAACAATTTGATGACTCTGAACTGACTTCTTTATTTAATTCCGTAAACAACCGAAAGGTATGTCACTTATTTTGGCGACAAATTGTGCAACAGTTTTTAAAATAAATATTTGAAATAGCTATTAAATTTTATATGAAAAGCATTATATCTTTTATAATTTTTTTTCATTTGTAGATGTGTTAGATGAGAAAGTTCTACCAGTCATTATTTCTTTGCGTAATGGAGGATTGAATAAAGACGTATTAGTTAGTGCTAGTAGTTTATTACTCCCGATTATTCGATTCAAGGTATCAAATTAGTTCAACAACATGTTATGTAATTCAAAGTGATATAAGGCTTTACAAAATTGTTAAGATATGACCTGGCATGGTATCCTTTATTAAGGGCATACGATACAGTAGAGATCCCTCGTTGATTTTTTCTTGAAATTTTGGAAGAAGGTCAATTTCGATGTGTACTTTTGAAATATGCAAAGAAAAATATACCTTCATGACTTACTTTTTGAGATAATTTGGTTCGAAATTTGCATATTTGAAGGGAAAACCCTGAAATGTCATAAAAAAGGACTTTTAAGGAAAGTTACAATACTTTGGAACGAACAGTCATAACTTAACCGGATTTTTTGTAAAATGTTCCCTTGATCTATGGCATGACAATTCTGTAACAAGTTTAAATTTAAACCAAATAATTGTTTTATGAATTTACATTACTATTTGTGAAATAAAGAAATTTACAATATTTTTGCATCTATTCAGAAGTGCAGAAAAAATTCGATCGTTGATTTTTTCTTAAAATTTTGGCGGAGCGTTCTTTAAACATTATTTGATTGATTGCAAAGGAAAAAACTGGGGGTCCATGTGCTTGTTTTTTCAATAAAAGCAACAAACCTTGATTTTGTAATGACAAACCAATAGGTTGCCAATAGGGCGCTAAACTACGTTGAAATAAGTTTTAATCGCAATAACGTCGTGAAATCATTCCCGCCATTCACGATTACGCTGTCAAGTTCAGTGGTATAGCCAAGGTTTTTTTTCGAAAGCAATGATACAATGTATTAATCATCAAAATTTCAAAGCTGATTACTCGTAAAATAGCATAACATATTTGCCAAACCTTTATAAATTGTTACGAAACTTGGATACAAAAAGTAAATACTTTTAGAAAAGAAAGGTGCGGAAACAAAGAAGATAAATCTGATAAAAAAAAATAATTTGCATCTCTGTCCGACATTAGTCCGTCAACTCATATAGACAACACAGCTTGGGCATAATTTTAATTATTCAAAAAGCCCCGACATGACAAAATATGAAACAATTAAGTAAGTGGGATTCCATAAAGATAAGGACAGTTGTTATCATTGACAATGAGAACAACTATCAACCATAGTTCAAATTACGAAGATAAACGAAATTAAAGGTCACCGTACGGCCTTCAACAAAAAAAAGCCACAATGTTCAGTCAGCTTTAAAAAGCCCCGACATAAAAATGTGATAAATTTAAACAAGAGAACTAACGGCCTACTATATAGGCATTATATGAACACAAAACCATACCCACATTAACTCGGGTTAGCTTAGAACTACTCTGAACATGTTTAAAAAGTGAATATTTAGAGCTGTTTCGAGCAAATTCATGTCGTAATTGTCTCAATATAGTCCATTACGGTGTAGTTTAACATTTCATAGGAAGTACAGCAGTCGGTATTAGAGCATGAAATTGCATTATTCTGTATCAATAGATAAGTTGCGTAAGCTTGTCTTCATGGTATTTCTATACCTCTCCCCCCAATTCCGTTGCGGGTTGGGGGGGGGGGGGGGGATATTGTTTTACTCCTGTCTGTATGTCCGTCATTCCGTCTATAATACGGGGCTTATAACTGTGTCTTTTTAACTGACAGTTCTTTTTCATACACATATACATATATATATTCCACTGGTTGAATTCTAAAAATACCGTAAAACTTTTTAGTGTCAGGAACAGTATGGGGCGTTGTCTTTATTTATCATGCTATTTTGTCATTTTGTTGATAGTCTCTGTTAAATTTATCCGTACAATTTTCCATACGATTTAGAGTTTGCCAAATAGTGTAGATACTATAATTGATCAAGACAGTACGTTGATGTCTAAATTACTTATTGGGCTTTTTAATTAATTGGGTTTCTGTCTCATCGACGTATTATTATTTACATATCTTTTATTCATTTCCTATATGAAATAAAACAAAGACATAATTATGAATGTGGTTTGATTTTTTTTCACATTTCAAGTTAATACTATTGACATATTATTAATGAATACATTTTGTAAATATAACAATTTTCTCGTGATATGGCCGATTTTCTTAGCAGGTACTTTGTTTCAAATTCGCCAACCGGATTTATGACGTTAGTGGATTTTCCGCAAATGTAACTCGACGTCACGAAATGTAATCGTTTTTATTAGAAACTTCGCGAAGTTACAACGTTCTGATTAACAACGTCGCGAAAACAACACGAAAAGTTTTGAAAACGTTATTATCTGCCCCTGCTACTGTATCGTATTGCCTTAAGGATAAACATTTACTACAACTTTTGTAAGTAAAAACATATTTTATCATGTTTATTCATGTTGTCAAAAGTTGTAATTTGTTTAAATAACTCATTTGACTAAGGGACACTATTCAAGAGAGTGACTTTGTGCCTCTTTTATTTATCTTTTATTGTAGAAAAACAGTCCAGACGCTACCGTTTTGACACTTGAAAATAATGGATCTATTGAACAAGCAACTGAACATATTACAAATTTAAAGACTCCATGGACTGTCAGAAAATCAGAAACCCTTATTGTAATCAAAAATGCAGAAACAGCAGAAGAAATTTCAGCTATCAATGATGTGCAAAGTAATTTGGATTTCGGAGCTCTAATATGTCACGTGGTTATTGGAGGTATGTCCGTTTCAAATAGCATATCATTAAACTGTCATTTATGCACTTCACTAGTTCTTCATTTTCATTTTTTCAAAAAAAGCTGATATATAGTTTTATATCTTTTCTTACTAGTTTTAGTTTGAATATACTTATCAAATGAATAATATTTTAGCTCACCTGGCGCAATTGGCCAAGTGAGCTTTTCTCATAACTTGGCGTCCGTCGTCCGTCGTCGTCGTTGTCCGTTATCTTTTACAAAAATCTTCTCCTCTGGAACTGTTTGGCCAAATTTAACTAAACTTAGCCACAATCATCATTGGGGTATCTAATTTTGAAACCTATGAACCCGTCTGCCAATCAAGATGACCGATATGGTTTTAAATAGAACATAGGGGTAAAATGCAAGTTTTGTCTATTATTTGAAAACCGTTATAAATAGAGAAAATCTGACGGGACCAAAATAGTTCAGATGTTGAGCACTACAAATGGTTAAAAGAAGACGACTTTTTGTAGCAGTTATTGCCCTTAGATGACAAATTTTACCATTTTTTTTATTTTTGCCTACTATCTTGAAAACCATAATAGATAGAGAGAAACTTTAAAGTTGTAATACCACCATTGATTTTTCCGTATTAGTCTTTGTTGAATTTGCACTTTTCAAAAATTGGGCAGAATTTATCTATGTTTCAAATAAAGAAGTACTTGGCATGAGTAAAGTTTTATCCTGTCAAGTACTATAGACAATAGTCACATAACATTTTATTGCATATAAGGAAATAACCATCACTGGAAGTTAACCAATCAAATTTTCACCTCTTTTTTTTACCTATGTACAAGCTTTAGTAAACATGTAATCTCAAGTTTCCAAAATATTCTATAGAAACATCAAATTAAAAAAATAATGTTGCTTTGAAACACCCAAGATATCTGCTTATGACCCAGAATTTTTTACTGCAATGAAATGTAGGATTAGTATCCTACAACTGTCAAATTATGGGAATATTTTTTTTTCGACCCTTTTTCGTATGCAACCGGATGTGACGTACTAAGATTTGGTTGTATTGCACCTAAAGTGAAAAATGATCAGCAAGACAAGTTCTACAAATAAGACTGCATGGTCGAAATCGTCAGTCAGCTCTTAGAGATTATAATAGCTAGATAGAAACTTAAATAAGCAAACATGATAAACAAGATAAGATCTACAATTAAGAACGATGGATGATATCGTCCGACGACTCCTTATTGGAGTTATTTCCCTTTAATGACGATTTTTACAATGTTTCACGTTTTGCCTTATATGATAAAAATTATAAAAGATAAATAGATGCTTTACATCACAAAAATGATCATCAAGGCAAGATCTCCTTACTTTATCGGCCAAATTTGACGTGTTAGTAGATCTTGCCTTGATGATCATTTTCTGTCACTGTTTAAAGGAGTGATTGCCCTTAAATGAGGATTTTTTTACCCTGTTTTACGTTTTGATCAAAAACTTCAGAAAATAGAGAAAAACTAAAAAGTCTAAATGATCAGCAATACAAGATCAACAAAACAGAGATTTTTGTCATGAATTATGTTTTCGTCTACAATGTTGGAGATTGTCCTTTGTTGAATATGCACATAGACAAAGGTGAGCGACACAGGCTGTATAGAGCCTCTAGTTATTCACATATCAGTGTAAATATCTGTTACAATGATGATGCCATCTTCTTACAAGTGCAGGATTAGTATGAAGTGCCACGAACATGATGTATTTGGTCATATTTCATATAAATTAATATTCTCATTAATGACCACTAGGGGTGTAGTTTCCTTTAGCCGGGGTTGATTTAATAATTTATATACTGCAAGGTTTCCAAAATTATCTTTCACTATAATAATTATTTTAGAAGTCTTGTGTATTGATATGTATGAAATTCTACATAAACAATGCAAACATTGTTTGTGCATTTAATATTAATAAATGTACAGCAAATGTTTAATCTAAATAAATTATATCGATAAAGGCGTAGAAACTAACAAATATAGACGTCTAGTTTGTCGCAAATGGTCTCAATTTATGTAATTTAGCTATCTATTATGAAATCATGTATCTTTATTGCAGTTTCCATGGCAAACAAACATAAAGTATTCGTAAGTTCAAATTTAACATGCTAATATAGTTTTACATTTACTTTCTTAAAGGAACAGAACTAGCATAATACCACAGACAAAGCAACACGAATCTCAGGTGCTCTGGAAGGATAAGCAAATCCTTGTCCACTTGTGACATTCATCGTGTTGCTCTTCATCAGAACAATACACTTGAGAAGACAAAAAAAAAACCCCAATTTCATGAATTGAGCATCAAAGCTATTTAAATAAATTTTGAAGCAGATAAACCAGAACAGAGCACGACTCTCTCACATAGGAGACTCGGTTGAAAAAAATCTAAAGCAGAATCACAGATAATGTCTTGATAAAAAAAAACAGAAACCTATGGGTTAAAAAAACGCTTTGCAGAAAACTTAACGTGCACCCTTAGACATGTTAGAGTAGAAGGTCCATCATTGTAAATGAGAAATGGCATATTACTGATCTTGTGAAAAAGTTGGAATATAGGGATTCACGCCATATAGATTTAGTAAATGTGTCTTTTCCAACAATTAGACAATTATTAATTTTCATACCGGTAGCCAATTGAATGTTCCTAACACATCACAATTCAAACGTAAATAGTGATCTTTGTCAAGGTATCTTAATATACAATAACACGTATCAATGGCTCTATAAACTTTACAACGACTTGATAGTGATTGATTGGTTGGCGTTAAACGCCAATTTAAACACTATTGGTTATTTCATAGTGGTCAGTATTTATTTGTGGAGGAAGCCGCAATGGCCGGGGATAACCACCGATCGTCGGCAGGAAAACCTTTGTGATACACAACGCTTCGACCTACTTGATACACAACGCTATGATTCTTGAGAAATGTTATTGATTTTTAGTAAAACAATACCAACTATTTTAGGAGACAGATAAAGAAGTGTACGCAAACGTATTATCGATGTACCTTTTGAAGATTGAAAAATGGCGAATTCAGGAGGACGCCATTAAAATGGCATTTGATCATCGATCTATTGAATACATCTATGAAAAGGTAATTAAAGGTCCATTTATAATAAGACGTAATTAGTGGAATAATTAGAATGAGAAGTTCAATACTAGTGTCGAATCAATATTTTTATGATGCATCCCATTTACCTTTGGAAGGTGATATATCAAGACGATTACCAAGATGACTGATAAACAATTCAACAATAGTGGTTCTTTTATTATTTAAATCAGTGTTTAGACAAAGAGTTTAATTCTTGTGATGTAGCTTTTTTTTTTATTTGGCCATTCCTAATTGGTCCGAATTTTACTTGATATTACTGGACTGTAGTTTTAGTCATACAAAAAGGTCTGAACGTATACCTGACCAGTTTTTAACTAAATTAAAGAGTCGGAAACTTACTCAACTCAAGTCTGAACCATACATGCTTGCTTTTTGGTATGAGCCAAGGCTCCGTGTTGAAGGCCGTACTTTGACCTACTGGTTTACTGTCACCAATTAGGACTTGGATGGAGAATTGTCTCATTGGCACTAATACCACATTTTCTTATATCTATTGACCAAGTCTGAACCATAATTGACCAAGTCCTAACAATCCACGACATATTCTCAATCTATGTCTCTTATTTCTTCTATTTAGAGTTAAGGTTATTTAGGTTTTCAATATGATATATATTTATATCGATAATAACTAGGGGAAATTATATAGAATATGACCCTTACAGGATTTGACAACTGCATTTGCTAGTGGATTGCGGACTGATTTGGAAGCTTTGTCCAGGTTAACTTATTTACCAACAGATTGGAAAGAAAAAGGTGAATATAATGCTTCAATCATTAGTTGATAATCCCAGTAACAATGTAAGAGTAAATAAAGGCAATAGTAGTATACCGCTGTGCAATAGTCATAAATCGATTTAACTGAAACAAATCCGGGTCACGAACCAAAACTGAGGGAAACACATCAACTATAAGTGGAAAACAGAAAAAGGTTTATTGAAACGTCATACTTATATGATAAAAGGAAATAAATAAAGGAATAGAACAAAATAGTGATTGCCACTACCTCCAATTTCAGCATTTCATAGTTCAGCATTAGTAAATTATTGTCCTTGTTTGTTTCATAAGTATATAAGACACACATATATATAATCATGTTCTAAACGATCGAGAGTAGGCGGGTATTACTAGTGCATACTGAAACTAATTGTCATATTCATGTTAGCTTTAATATAATCATCTATGTTGTCAAATAAGTATTAATTCAACTTTTGTCAAACTAAACACTGTATTTTGAATACTGAACTAGTACACATTTTGTTTAGGGGCCAGCTGAAGCCCTACTCCGGGTGCGATATATTTCACGCTGTGTTGAAGACCCATTGGTAGCCTTCGGCTGTTTTCTTCCCTATGGTCGGGTTGTTGTCTCTTTGACACATTATTCATTTCCATTCTCAATTTCATCTGTTCTCTGCAATATTATTCTATATTACCACTTTTTTTTACACATGTTTACAAATTAACCATTTTGATTTTTTCCGGTAAACATAAATTAGTGGTGAATTTTTAGATAATATATCTAATAATGAAGAAGACCTATTTGGCTATCTGATCAGAACATTTTGTTTTAAATACTAGTTATTACATTTATTACTCGTGTGTTTTGAACTACACTGTTGTCATTACAGAATATATTTCATTTTACTTTAATCGTTAAAAACCTGATATATTTAATAGATATTGAGCAGGCAGTCTCAAATTCTGATGTCATCGGACTCATATTTTTAACATTACTGCGGAAACAGTTTTATTCTGGGGCTACTCAGCTTGTAGATACAGGATTTGTAAGTCAGTTTTTAAGTTAAGCTTTAAATATATAATATGTTTGTCAACTTCAATGAATTGAAAGGTTGCATAAAATTTACAATTATTATCAATCTGTGTGATAAGCAACCTGCACATATGTAAATTTATGTGATATGCGCTTCTGAACATAATTCATTAGAACATTATGGGCTTAACCACATTTATATATTGTTCTGTATTTGTGTTCAATTTTTATTTGTTATTTGACACATTCCTGTCCTTTGTTTGAACTTGTGGTTATTTGTTTGTAATTGAGCTCCAGCTAGTTTTATTTTTTAAAATTTTTAAGGTTCTTAGATTTTTACATAATATACAACTGTCAATATGAATATAAGGAGATATGGAATAATTGCATGTTACACACGCAAATATGTGTCTGAGTGTTTCAAAATAAAGTATGTTGTTATTGTTATTGCAAATGAGACGACTTTCTACATGAGAACAAATGACGTATATAAGTCGTCGTGCAATCAGCATAACACATACCGACCGTGCGAGAGCTGTATAGCCAGTCAAGGTTGTTATGTTATAAACTTTAAACGGAATAAGTGAAATATATGTAGAACCTGAACAAAAACAATATTATCGATAGTTACACATCTTGTATAGTTTGGCTTCATTTGATGACAAAAACAAGTATTCAATCTAGGGCGCATAACTATTTGTACTATGTATTATATATGAATGTCTATCAAAAAGAAAACGATGCATTTAAAAAAAAAAGTAAAATATTCATTTGGTATCTTCATCTATGTTGTAGGTTCGCATTAGTCATATTTTAGTCGGATGCAAAATTCTACAAGATGCTAGTGATGATAAGAAGAATGAGCAAATACAGAGGGAGACATCACAAAGATTAAAACTGTAAGGAAAATACCAAAGCAGATATCATACTGATTGTTTAAAAGACTGCGAGGCCGTCTGTCAAACTCATTTAAATGAGTTTAAATATTCATATATCCTATTAATGTAAATGTTATATAAACCGTTGTTATTAAAGGAATATTATTTGTCAAATTCATGTTCAACAATTTTACTAAAATTCTTATATTCGACTAATAACATACTTAAACGCATATCCAAATTATAAAAAGTCTAAAATAAACAATTTACGATGCAAAGAATCGATATTATGTATCAGCATGTCGTGTGTATTTACATCGAGACGCAATCTAATTACCCTTCGAGGTGACATTCGAATATTGCCGACTGTCGTATAACCCGATTTAATCATAAACACATTATAAATAGATTGCAAACTCGTGCACTTGGATTTTTCTATGTCTGTTTGATTTTATAACATAGGTTAAAAAACATATGTTTATAATCGTTTTACCTGTATAAGAATAAGTTTTTCTTGTTCGAATCAGTCTTCACTTCCAAATTTTACAACGCCTAGTTCATGCGTAACCCATCCTTAGCTATATGGATCAATTAAAATTCACATGAATACGGATTCAATGAGGTCGAATTATCACTTGCAAGTGAATGATACACTAGCAATGTTTCGTTGCTTATTTTGACAAAACTGGCTGTTAAATGTGAATTATTATTTAACTATTTTACTTTCATTTATGATTGAACCAAAAAAAATTCATATTCTATTTTTTCTTTATACCTCGTAGCCAATGACCCTTAAACGAGTATGGTATGGATGCAAATATATTTAACAGATACACTTGTACTACCAAAGATTTGCCAGTAAACTTAAATTTCTATTTCTATAATTAAGAAACCATAATATTCAAATAACGAAATATCGATCTTGTGATATTCGGTGCAATAATGTTACAAACGTTAGCATTAGTTGGTTAAGTACTGAAACTCAATTGTAAAACTAAATGTATTCCTCATAAAACACACAGATATTTTAGCTGAACTTTAAGTCACTGTAAATAGATTAAAACCTGCATCTAATATTATCAAAATGGAATGAAACATTACATCATCAATTTGCATTTAGAAGTGATTACCGTCTCTGCTCAATCTTTTATCTATAATTCGTGTCTCGCTGCGGCCATCCTGTTGCGGCATTTCAAAGGTATTATCAATGGAAATGTTGTTTTATTATTTAGAAACATTACCTTAAAGACTGTTATGTTTTGGAACTACACATAGAAACACTACAGATACATATGATTTTAAAACATACGAAAAAGATTCATCAACATCCATGCAAACATGATTGAAAAAATATGCTAACCGAAGACTATTTACTGGCTTAAAGATTCGTCATTGATATGTTCGATATTCAGGAAATGTGTCTTTATTATAGATATTTCACAGAGCGTGCAACCCTGATTACAGGATTTATTTACGAGGCCAATTTAAACAATGATTTAGTTGAAAATGAACTTGATGAAGCAGTAAATCATGCTGGTCGTCTTTTGGTGAACCATGGGTACTTAGAAGATGCAATTAGGACACAGAACAAGGCATTTCTTGAAAACAAAATCGTTACTGATATCCTGCATAAAATGTGGTACGGAGAGGAGAAATTTTTATTCCGTCAGGTATGTAAGAAGTATGTAAGAAGTATGCACACATGAATATGTCGTGAACTGGGATATTGACCAAAAGAAAACAAACTCACAGACTAACATGACTCAGAAACATAAACTGGTTAAAAATACAATCTTCAACAATTGACGAGGTCCTTTTCTTGAGAAAGACAAGATGTAACGGTTGCATGTCGGGTTCGGACGCGTTTAAAACTTGTATATGCAATGCTTCATATTTTTCTGCTATCTTTTCATTAAATGTTAAAAATTTGTACATCTGTGTTCAAAATAATAACACATGTGTTCAGCCGATATATACATCTTGTGTTCGAACACTGTTTTACAGATTTATTGTGGTTTGCCAGACTGCTTGATACCCCCAATATACATATGGTCAAGCCAAATACAAATTACTAGTATTAAACAGTATGCAAATATAATGCAGCATGTTTTTCCTTTAAGTTTGTTTGTAAATATTTTAGTAATTGTTATAACCTAAATTTACAAGATGGCCAACGCTGATCAAAGCTGGCATATTATGTTATCATTTATTGTCATAGTGTGTGTACGTTTTACAAAATAAATACATTCTTGTATTCAATCGTGCACAGTATCGCGTTTGTAGATCCATTAACGACCTTATATATAACTTCCATAATGACAATACTGGATAAAGGTATTTTCCAATCTTGATTATTTTTTCTGTTTTATATAATAACCGTAAATTCCTAAAGTTTGATATTTTAACTTTTAATTATCTACATTTTCCATATCAAACCAAAATCAACATGGAGTATGACATTCAGCGCCTGGTTTTGCTTTTTATGTTTGGCGGTCATTTGTAGACAATTTGAATGTTGCTACCAGTTGTTTCTGGGTCGTCGTATTTTATTTGTTTATATGTTTATATGTTTTATCTTTTATAGTAGTAGTTAGTGCATTAAATAAGATATTGATTAAACCAAAGTTTCCTCTTTCTTATAATATATTTGTAAACATGAATGTTTTTGTGAACATGAAAAATGTGCGAAACTATCATCCCCGCTGATAATCTATTCAAAGGGTGGATACATGATGAGGGTCAGTAGACATATTAGCTAGAAAAATCCATGACATTCTGACCTACCTATATGTGTAACATATATTTTGCAGAAGTCAAACAGGGAAATGTCAGACAGTCACGTATACTCATGTAGTTGATATGTCTATTGAATGTAATATAGGGATGCTTAGTTCTTGATAAGATCATCTGATAACGTCAAGTTATTTTTTTTTTATTTCACGACCTTCATGGTGTCACGACTGTCATAGGTGAGGAACAGCTTAATACAACTTGGATTGGTCCACCATTTGCTACATAAGAAAATGCCTGTACCAAGTCAGGAAAATGAAAGTTGTTTTTTATTCTTTTGATGCGTTTGAGCTTTTAATTTTCCGTTTGATAAGGGACTTCTGTTTTGAATAGTACTTTCAATACGGTATTTTAGATTTTTTTTTGTACATTTTGGTAATAGATTTAGACGTTTACAAGTCTATTTTGCTCAAAATATTAATCTTAACAGTTGACTGTTTGATAATTTTAAAGAATTAACGAAGTTTATATAATTTACCTTTTGCATTTTTTGTGTAGTGTTATTAAGGCTGTAGTAATTTACCAATGCAATTTGCTAGAGCAAACACATACATGTACGGAATGTTCAACTTCGTTCAAAGAAATAATAATTGTTTTTCATGTGATTGATATAAATAAAAACCGTGACAGAAGTCTGTTCGCGTTCGAATTGACTGTATAACAATACATGGACATTTTGTTTTGTGCAAATTGAACACAGTGTTCTTAGTACTTAAGAAGAATCTATATTAGTTACTTGAAATGTATCAGGAAAGGTTATTTTCGGATGATGAGTATCTATCTTGCAGCCGAATGTCAACTATAGCGATATTAAAAAAAATATTTAGAAAGAAAGACAACTCTAACAAAATATACAATATTTACTACATATTTCGACACGAAAACACATATGTAACGACCTGCAGAAATGTGTGGGTTAATAGTACGTTTATATAATAGGGGATTAATTAACGGGATAATCAATACCACGAAGTTGCAAAATTAAATTAACACCATGTCAAAACGAAAAAAGAACACAGATACACACAACTAAAGGTTACGATACATAAACAAAACAGAGAATGAAATCACATTCTCCAGAACCTTAAACAGCATCTTTTTTACGTTACTTCCAAGCCGCAATTCCCTTATTGGAACGTTTTGACTTCACATTAGTATGTGATATCTTGAATCAGTTTTCATGTATAGGCGTTAGATATGGTTATCAAGGTGCAAGGTCTTATCTCTATCTGGTGTGAGCCATATACCCTTTATATATATTTTTCGCCAGAAGTTATTCATCATTGCTTCAACATGTATTGTTGCCAAATAACTTTATTTTCAAAAATAACATTCAATTCCATCATAAAAGTATGATTTTTATAGAGTGCATATCGTAAACATGTTTTGAGAACAAAGCATATACGTACGCAGAATACCGATTATTCAAACCCTATAAAATATCATACGTATTGTGTCAGAAGTGATTAACTTCATTGAGATAAATCAATTTTCCGATTTACTCACAAAATAAAATAACAATATAACTGTTTGCCATCTAATAAACATGCACTGTAAATGATTAACTCTTTATAGGTAGGAGTTTTCATCCTGTTAGCCCTAATACACTTACTTGTGATGCCAGTATTGATGATCAACATAACAGCTCCTCCTCTTAAATGGTAAGTACTAAATGCATAACTGTTAAGATTTCCAAATATAAGAACAAACATAAAAAAAAAATCCTAAAACTACCCAAGATTTGTATGATTATCTATTTTAGTGTCCCGGTTTGTCTATACGTAAGGTCCTTTTTGCTTTCGTCAACTTTTCAATGTTTTATTAGGATTTGAATTATAAAACATTTTTGTAATGAGATCAACATTGAAAACTCATTAATTGTGCATTTGTTGCAGGAATGTTCATGTTACTATATACAATACAATTTGGTTGGATATGAAATCGACGTGATTACCAAAATTACAAATGTATCTGTCATATTATATTTTGATTTACACTTTAAGATGTTAACAACCTATTTCAGTTGTCTGGCAAGTACCATACCTGCTCTATGGTCGGGTTGTTGTCTCTTTGACACATTCCCTATTTCCATTCTCAATTTATGTTTACTCCAAATACTACATGCATGTTTTCAAATGCAAGTGTCTTTTTTTTGACATATTACAGTTTAACATATTCCAGTTTCACTTTGTAATGTTTGGAAGTTAACTATTTTGTTTTGTTTTCTTACATGAAGTTTATTTTAGATGATTAGTTTAAAAGAATGCACGTCAAATCAAGGAAATGTATCATATAATACAGTGTCTTTGTTATAGGTTCTACCAGAAATACAATCTCCCTTTTATGAAAGCCTTTATTCAAATGGTAAGAAACATTTATTTCCATTAACGAAATATACGATATACTATCATCTAATGGTCAACTGAATGAAAGTTCTATGTAAGCGTATCTGAAGATTTATTGAAAGAAATATATGGATTGACTTCATGAAAATAGATGTAAATTCAGAAGCAGAAAGATTGTTAAAGCTAAAAATCATACGATCAATTTAAAACTTACATAAAAATATACGATTTCTAACAGCAGTATTTGAATAGCTTTTCTCTCTCGTTTTTTTTCAGTGTTGAACAATAAACAATCGCAATAGTGACTGTATATGCATGTTTTCTGAAAACTTCATAATAACAGTGATAACAGCTTAGTTTGATTAATATGGTATGGAAGGTTTGCTTCTTTTATATGTTCTAAATATGAATATTATGATACTTAATTTCTACAAGAAAGATCAATTTTAATACGTGCATAAATGTCAGATTATGGAGCATATTTTTTAGTAACCGTCAAAGTTAATCTGTTCACATTTTAGCTTGGATACTTGGCTTTGCTGGTGACATATGCATACATGTTGCTCTTCAACCCTGATGAAAACTTTTCTTGGACAGACGGATTAATAGTAGGATGGATGATCAGTTTTTTGTTTAATGAAATTAAGCAGGTATACAAAATAGTTATATTGTTTTTTCATCCTTTTTCTTAAAGGGAAAAAGGGTCAGCTTTGATTTGATAGTTTCGATAGAATCTTACGTACATTTGAACTAAAAAGTATATGAGTCTCTATGAAACATCTCTAGTAATTTTGACACCCAGCCATGTGTTATACGACAAAAAATACCTTAAAATAAGAATCATCTAACTTATATACCGTCAACAAATAATATCTTCTGCAAATCTTTCCATGATTTCATTCCTATTTTACAGATGAGACTTAAGTGGGATTTTCTTTTCATTTAAGTTTAGGTTTAAATATGCCCTACGTCTCATTTATAATTTGCACATACCAGTTATTGATCTTGATATAAACGTCAGGAATCATTACCCAGTTGCCATACAAAAAAAAGGACTGTAATTGCATGAGATAATCACAAATTATTGTTATGGTGTATGGAATATAAAACCTAATTTGTAAGTAATTTATTATATCTTAGTTTATGAAAAGGGGATGATATGTTTTTTTACTGACATTTTGATTGTCGAAACGCTAATCAGAATATTTGTATGCTTTCTTTGTCAGGCAATTCAGTTATTCTAAAAAGATAATCGGGATTATATATTACACCCCCTCATTTCATCTACACATAATTTCATTCATTCATACATAGATTTATAACTAAGATTTATTTTAACGATTTTCTCTTTAAAGGCAATTGTTTCAGCTTTACGACATAGATTTAAAAGGTATATGTGTAATGTATGGAATCTCCTAGACTGGGCAGTGATGTTTGTATACGCAAGTGGAATGTTTTTAAAATTTGGAGACGATGGGACCTATGAAGACTCGACAAAAATATTATTAGTCTTAACTTTCATTTTACTCAGCATTCGTATATTAAACATGTTTAGTATATCTGAATACCTTGGACCAAAACTTGTTATTATTCAAAAAATGGTAAGAATAATTTAAAATATGGACGGAAGAATCAATTTTACCCCTCAAAAAGAGACACTTCATCATTTTGACAACTATTCCACTAAATGTATGCTGCTTTATTTCATTGTACTGGTGGACCTTCGTCAATGACGGTAACACCAGCCCAGTTGAAAGCACTTTTGTGCTGATTTGAAATATCATTGATGTGCTCCTCTTCTGTAAATTTACGGTTTATAAAATGTTGAAATATTCAAAACTAGCAGGTTGTTATATACCTAGGTATAGATTGTCAAAGCCGTATTGCGTACATTTTTTCCGAATTTTCGGTAGTGAATCGTCTTGAACTTCGTAATATTTGATATATTGGAAATGTTTTGATTTGAGCGTCCCTGATGAGTCTTCTGGAGACGAAACGCGCGTCTGGTGTAACAGATTATACATCTGGTATGTGTGGTGAGTTTTTGTTGGTAGTACGTTGTCTTTTTACATAGTTGTCTAAGGCGCTCAACACAGTAAGGCATGGATACACTTTTTATATCACAAAGCCATTTGTTTATAGAGTTTCCAAAAAGAAAGACGGAAGATGCAAAAGGGATATCCAAACTCATAAGTCGAAGAAAACGGAAAACGTCATGGCAAAAAATGACCAAACATAGAAACCATCAGCACTCATTTTATTTCGATGTAAGTCAATTTAATAAATAAAATAATACAGCCACTATAACAAAATTGCGTCCTACGAGTCGTGGCGCTATAAGATATACAACTTGATTGAAAAGGTATGAAAAGTCATTCTCCCATTATATATATATATATAATTAATTAGTCTAAATAACAGCCCAACAATGTTAGATCTGTAAATTTGCGGAAGCAAATTTCATCAAATTTTTGTTCTTCCCTGGCAGGGATTCGAACTCATGCTACTGATATATCGTGACACCAAATCGCCTTGCACTATGCCCGGCGCGCTATATATATCAGTGTGTAAACAGGATTGTTGTTTGACGACACAGAAGAATCTTTTGTTTCTTGTTTAAAGATTTTTATTATTTAAGTCATAATCAGTCTCAACATTATACATACAAAAACAGACAAACAAAATATAATATATCAATAAGAAGTACTTTATATCAAACGAACTTTTTTTCCGTACATGTGTAAATTTTATTTGATTGAATTGATAATTTTTTGTTTTTCAGTTCAAAGACACGTTTGTATTTCTTATCATCTTAACAGTTATCATGATGAGCTACAATGTCTCATATCATTCATTGCTCTACCCAAACTCTGAACTTAGTTGGAAAGAGATAGAGAACGTAATGCAGAATGGTTACTGGATGCTTTTTGGAGAAAATGGGTTAATAGACAGCGATACACGTAGGTTTAATGATAAATAGATTAGCTCATCTCTCAACTGTGTGTTTTCTTTTATGTGTATCTTTCCATTTAAGCTGTTATCATCATTCAAACTTAATAACTGACGGTCGTACATATTTTGACAATGTTCTTCTTACTTGGTAAGACGAAGGTTTACCTTCCTTATCTTTATTTTTCGTGATTTAGAAATATATAAAACAAATTGACAATCCAACAGTAATTATACTATAAATTCGAAGTAATGCGTCGGCTTTTATTACTTGCTTGCAGTTATCAAATCTTATCACTTAATTAACAAATACTGTTCTACGACGATTTCCTTTATGTGAAATGTTTAGTTCTGTATTAGATTTCGATATGACATGCAATATGACACACTATAGAAAGTAAAATGCGTTGAATTAGTAGAATATTTCGTGGCAATTTAATTTTGACAAATAAATGTATTAATTACAGAATTCTGCGAAAACATCGTTTCAAATATAAATAAATTTTAGATTTCATCAGGTCAAAGAAATGACAAATCTGTTTGCTTTTTCCGGTGGTAATTACTTAAAGTATCTAAATTTATTTTTTAGTGGATGATTGTACTGACAATAAAACCATTTATACAAGTAGTGACCATAAAGAAAGGATGGCTAGATGTCCTACGCATTTGGGAATACACATTTCGCCATATTTGAAAGCCCTCTATGGATTGATTGCAGTGATTTTACTATTGAATCTGCTCATAGCAATTTACAGGTAAGATTCTAAACAGTTTCTATTGATGGTTAGGGTCACTTGGTAATATATTTGTTTCATAGAACAAGTTCAGCAGTTTTGTATCATATTTGTTTTAAAAACAATTCATCTCAGCGGTTACATGTTTTACTATGTAACTCATTGAACTAATGTTACAAATACTAATTTTTTCAACTAAACTCACAGTCATGTTAAATTAAATTAACTATATAACTCTTTTTCAATATGAAATGAATATATGTGAACAACTTGTCGTAATGCATGTGTATACAATATGATGCTGATACTGAACGAATTATTTCAGTGACACATATAAAAAAGTGAATGATGAATGTAAGTTCCATTGGTCGCAGATTCAGACTGATTTCCTTGAGGAGTATAGCATAGAGACAATTTTCCCAATACATTTGAAGCTTCTTATGTTACCTTTTGGTCTTATCCATGTCTTCATTTGGTTAACTGAATATTGTTGCTTCAAAAAAAAAGATCGAAGATTGAATAAAATCCAACACGAAGACCAACACGACAGTTCAAATTCTTATGACAGTGAAAGGGACAAGTTAAAGGAAAATCCAATGTTTGTACGAGGTAAAAAATGAATGCAGATAATATTAAGATCATATATCTTCATAGTATATAAATTGGTTCAAAGAAAAAAAAATAGTGTCTTAGTGTTAATGTCCATACATATCCTCATGGACACAGAAACACTTTTATGAAGAAATATTGCATTAGCAATTTCAAGAAAAGTCAAACATGGAAATTGATATTGTGTTCACTAAAGATGACACCATATGGAACGTTTACATATTATAATCAGATTGGTTATTACGTTTTGCTTTGCTATTATAACGGAGTAATGAATTTTTTTTAAAAGTATTATTTAGATACGACTTAAGTTTAAATTCAGATGGCCTTATAGTCAAATGTATTGAAAACTACAAAAAAATGAAAAAGATTTGCATTCTTTGATTCATAAGTTCATAGATTATATATATTTGTGTAGACTGTCTCTTAATATGTTCAGTAATTTTGTAAATATCTAATATATTAAGATCAATACTAGGAGTAAGGCATGTTGGTTAAAAATATTAAAAGTGTTTAATTTCTACAACAATTAAAAGTTTCCCCTATGTTTTGATATAGGAAAGACAAGCATCTCAAGGTGAATGCATGAGAAGGTCAAAGGTATTAAGTAAAACCATGGCATTTTGCAATCGTTCGGTCTTCAACAATGATAAAACCCATACCGTATAAAAGGCCCTGACATAAAAAATATGAACCAATTGAATTGAGAAATTTAATTTATAACAAAACAATCTAGGAAAAACAAATATTACAGACATGAACCAACGACAAACACTGAACTACAGGCTCGTGACTTGGGACAGGCACATAAAGAATGTGGCAGGGTTAAACGTGTTTCTGGGTGCTCAACCCTCCCAAAAATCTGGGACAGTGGTGTTACAGCACAACATAAGAACAAACTATAAAAAACAGTTGGAAAGGACTTAACTCATCAGATCGACAAATAGTAGAAAAACATCTAAAAAGAACACAGACCGGAAGGAGCAGGGTATTTATACATCCCTAACAACAACAAAAAAAGACTCAAAGTACAGATCAGAGAGTACTCGCAGTTACTGGCAGCTAGTTTATATTTACCGCCAATGTCTGTTTTTTAAACACTGACCAATATTAAATATTAAATATGTCATGCCATATCTCATTAGTAGTTGGGTTTTATCATTTAATATCATCTGGTGTCTGTGACGAATTAAGACAATTTATGTTTGATCTTATCACAACTATTATAGACTCGGGATATTTTATAGGCTGTCATTTGATTTAGACATTCGTTAATTTGTCAAGTCTGTATGTTACCTTTTTGTATTTTTGGGTAGTTGTCTCATTAACGTTTACCCTAAATCCCCATTAAATCTGCCATATATATGTGTTAACGTCTGAGACCTTTGTCTAACATACAGTCGAACCGTAAACTCAAAACAATTTCGAACAACAAGTAAATATAAAAATAAGAAGATGTGGTATAATTGAAAATGAGACAACTCTCCAAATGACACAGAAGATAACAAGTAACGCATAGAAGTATCTTTTCTTTTATCCTAGTGTTTTTGTACAACGCAGACTATGATCTAAAACTAAAATCAACAGAAGAAGCGGAGAGAATCGGAGCGGCTAGGTCAAAAGGGTAATACACTTATAGTTTTATGCAACCTTTCTGTACAGTAAAAGTAAGCACTTTTTATTAAAAATTCTACAATATCTATTTAATGTAGCATCTTGAAAATCTGCTGTACTGTAGGCCTATACTAACATATAGGTAGGCTTCTAATCATCATTCGCAAACATTGAAAACGATCAGTATTTCCTTTCAAAAGCCTTTAGTAATGGCTTAAAGACGTGTGATTTAAATTTGTTTTCATATTTGTTACTTCTTACGAATCAAAGTAGCAGGCCAATGTTTGGACTCATTGAATTTGAAAGAAAGAATAATAATTCTATTGAAAATATTCTTCTAAAAACTTTACTTTACACATTCACACATTCTGATGGCTAAAAAAAGCGTAAAATCTGCCAGTAGGCGTCATTTTGAAATCTTATATTTAGACATCAGAAAAACCGTACTCAAACATATAGTTTGTATAAACTTGTATAATATATCTAGATGTTGTTTTTGGGTAAATATGAAATGTTCTGATGAGGCTGTTGTTATTCTAAAATTTTACGAAAATTATGGGTAAAATGGTTATTTTATGTCATGTATATCTCTATGACCTCACAAAATACATTTCTGTATTAACACGACGTACTAGTTTGTCTCATTTGCTCAACAAGATAAAACATAACTTTTAAGAATTAAAGAATTTTGTGATATAATAATTTGAATCACAGCACTTCCGTAGTCTTAACAATCAAATTTTGTGCCAACGTTTTGTCTAATTTGTGTGAAGTAGTAGAATCTGAAACCGTATATATCAAAAGTATAATTGATATTTTCTTTTCTTGCATGATACAATATTCATCAGGGTTCAAGCTCCTCCTGATTTTCTCTGCTGCATTTCACGTATTACAACATGTATCTAGGGCAGTGATTAGTATCACACATTCTTCAAAGTTGTCTAATGGCTCCTGGAATATTAATATCATTTTTTCTTCAAATAGTTTTCACCCACTGAAATATTTCTAAACGACGTAATTTTTCATTGAATATGATGAAAACTTGTTAAAACTGCTTATATAGGATATTAAAATGGGAGCATCGCGGATGGGAGTAATGACTCGCAACAACTAAATACCAAATAGAATGACATCGATTTATGCAGATGAATATCAAACAGTCCAAGTTGAAATTTATTCATATTGTAAATCAATGATATCATTTCAGTATATTTAGTTCTATAAATTTAAACGATTGCACTTTTGAGGATTAATTTTTTTTTTTCAAATTATGTAATTATCTTATAATTATTATTATCATAAGTATTATTACCATTATCATTTGCTTTATAACATGTATAAATCAGTCGATTTCTTATTATCGTTATGGCTTGTCTCTAGTAAGTCGAATCATTGAACGACTAACAGATTTTTTTTGGAATATAATAGGAAAATTGAGATCACAGAAGAAGATAAAATAACGGTTAGTATTCAATATTAAATGTAAAAGAGGGGCGAAAGATATAAGAGGGATATTCAAACTCATAAGGCGAAAATAAACTGACAACGCCATGGCTAAAAAAGATAAAGACAAATAATAGTACAAAAAACATTTTCAAAACACAACATAGAAAACTAAAAACTGGAAGTTAAAATTCCAACAGGTTACATAAAATATATAAGTGTGTGCTAAATGTAACAAAACATTGCTAAGCGAAAAAATGTACATCTAATAAACCAAATTTGACATCGATGATGCGGTAGACAATTTTGCACTGACCAATCCCTTCAAACGAAAAACGAGTGATTGTGATTTGAACAAAAAAGCGAAGTCCAATAGTAAAACAATTGATGACTAAATATTTATGACTTTTTATAGGACATCGATTTTACTTTATGAAAACTTTGTGTATAAAGCAATACAAACATATTATATCGAATTACGTGCGAAGGAAATAGTTTGTCAAGACTAACCCTTAGCTGGTTGCTCGCAACCACAATTTGGAAAGTCAGATAAAAATAAAATAAATTAGATTGATCATATTCGTATTACACATACAATTTACCTGTATTAACTAATAAGTATATAACAAATTAAATTATTGGTACTTGATGTTATACAAGTACCAACTGATCATATGTGTGTATGAAACCAAAAATCATTCCTAGTTTTGTTGAGATGGAACCCTAAAGGCAATTATTATATGGCGGGATCAAATTCAAAATGAAATCATGCCGACGAGATAATAGTTTATAAGATGTATCCAACTACTGAAAGGGGTAAAATTACTGAGTGATAATTAGTCGATAAAATATTAGTCTATTACCAAAAAGGACTCATTTCAGTTTTGTTATGTCTTATCGTTTGTTGTCCAAATAATTATAAAAGTGTCTTTCCATAACATCATTGTCATGAAAATTCTTTGGACGAGTATTGTGAAAATAATTCTATAAAGTTCGAGATTGCATGTTAGTTACGTAAGTGCGTCACTGTTTTTTATATCCTGTGGTGTTTGTCGTTGATAAAAATGTTCGTTGTTGTTCTACAGTTTGCATGTTGTGTCAACTATAATATTATTTATTTGTGCGTTTCTCTGTGATGAATGTTCTTGCGTTTGTTTGTGCTGTATTTCTGTCACGTAGTGTTGTCATTTCAGCGATAGTTTTTAACATTGTCATAAAGCGGGAGGTTTTGATAGCAATTAAACCAGGTTCAACCCATCATTTTGTCTTACAATGTCCTGTACCAACACAGGAATAAGACAGTTGTTATCAAATAGTTCGTTTCTATGTATGTAAGCGGTTTTTTTTTTTGTTCACTTCAGTGTTCCTGTTGTTCGTTTGTTTTCCTCTTATAGTTGATGTGTTTCCCTCGGTTTTAGTTTGTAACCCGGATTTGTTTTCTCTCAATCGATTTATGACCTATGAACACCGGTATACTACTGTTGCCTTTATTTGTGTATTCAAGCTATTTGTTTAAGTAAGCAACACCAAACGTCCTATAATGAGACAGATGTACTCATTTTTAAAATGTTCTTAATGCTGATTTATTGAATTGTTAGTCTGATACCTGAACTGTATGTAACTGTCTTTATAGTACAATGAAGTACTATGATTGTGTCTATTTGGAAAGTTCAAGTATTGATAGAAATGTTGTGAATTGCTTGAATTTTCAAAATTAAGAAATAAGTATGATGCAATGCACAATGTAGCCTGAAGGTCAAGTAACGTAGCAGTAACATCTATAGTATTTGTTACTATAAAATTACGTGTTTTTTATTGTTTCTTTCATTGTTCCCAAAAAAGGAATATCACAGTGCATAATATAAAATATTTAACTTCATTTTAGTCGTTCAAAGCATAATGCTGTTAAGGGGACTTGCAAGAAAAGTTTTCTAATTTGTATTTTAAAATAGTTCTTAAAAAGTATTTAAAATTTCACCTTTTATTGTTTTTTTATTATTATTTTGTATTCATTTGCAAGCATGTGGATTATATATCTTGATATAATTTTCATTTGCATGATTTTCCTTGATACATGATATTTTCTTACAAGGAAGCAATTGAACCAAGGTTTCCAAGTGGTAAAGTTAAAGCCATTCCTTCGAAATTTAACGGACGATATCACGAGTTGTTGACCGTAATGAAATTTCTGTCTCACAGATAACCACTTGTATATTCCAACATATCGTCCTCCTTTCCTTTTTCCTCGATTGTGACATAATCGAAGGAGACATATCACCGGGTCTGTACTTGCATGAGCAACATGAAATGTGCCATACATGTAGCAGGAACAGCTCACCCTTTCGAAGTTACTAATTTTAGTCTATGTTTTTGGTTGGGTTCGTGTTGTCCAGTCTTTAATTTCATATGTAGTGTTTGTTGACTTGTTTGTCTTCTCATCGTGTATCGTTGTTTGCAATGCCATTGTCGAGTATCTTCAACTTATGAGTTTTGGATGACCCCTTGATATCTTTTGACTCGTTTGTTTCTCCAGAGCTTCGTTTCACTTTATATTTTCTCATTAGAAATAGTAGTATACAGAAATTATATCAGTATGTCTTTTTACAAGGAATATTGTCATACTTAATTTAAATATATTAAAGAAAAAATGATCCTCTAAATCTTCAGGTTAAGCTTTAAACTAACATATCGAGGAATCCTAGTTTGTTAAGTTGTCCCATCTCGGGTAGTTGTTAACAATAATTGATACAGTAAAGAGTTTAGTATTGGTGTAACCAGATATTGTAGTAATTTTTATGTCTCCTACGTAGAAACTTCAAAATCAAATGGACGTTATGAACAGAGAGCTTAAGGACCAGAATTTAAGAGCTGACGAGGTAACAATAAGCATGCATTAGATATAAAAAAAAAAATTTTTTTTTTTCGTATGAAAGAACTTGTTATGTATGGCTTGATTTTAGTTTTAATATCAAATGACAATTTTATTTTTCAGAGTTCTCTTACTTGCCATTCGGTTTTAATTCTGCATACTGATTCTTCTCTTCATTTATTAAAAGGATTATTTAAGATCATTCCATCTTGATTTAAAATTTAAAAAAATCGTCTACAAATCTTCTTTTGGCAGTGAGTTGCAAATCATTATGTTGTTCATGTTAAAATTTAAAATCTTGTGTTGCTTAATATTTTTTATGTTCTTTTTGGTCGTATAGCTCTTTGACTGTTTCGGTTCTTACACATCCTTGGCTTTCAAATATTTGGCATTGAGAGTTCCTGATGAAGGTAGATCCGGAAAAGCGCTTCGGACGCATGAAATTTATAATGTGTTGTTTTCATTTCTTAATCCTTGAATAGCTGTTGAGAAACCAATGTAGCATTTTCGTAGATTTATTGTTTGAAATTGTTCTTTCTCTCAACCTAAAAATAGACGTTATGTTATGTCTCAATGATGTCGAAAATTGTTACGATGCTTTTATTTGCATTGTTTACTTATTATTGAAGATATGTTAGCTTGTTGCTTGATATTGTTACATTTCCATAACTACTTGTATTTGGATGATTACGGTCTTTTAGAGATTAAATCAATTAGACATATGAATTGGCTTTAGAAAACTATCCCTCATGTTTTTTTTTCTATGCACAAAAGACGACATGGGTAAACGTCAATAAAACTACGGACAATATGACTGCAGCACTAGAAAAACGGAGTCAAAAGGATTTTGGTACTAGAACAGCCTAGAAAATATCAATGTAGTACTCATAATAATCCGGACGATGCCTAAAGCTTGACTTTAAATAAAATAGAAAACAATTATGCGTAGATTGTGTTCCAAACTTTGATATTATTTAACGTAATTTTGACAGTTTTTAATTGAACTGATATGCTTACAATATGATAGTCAATCGATTTGTTCGTATGTAATTTTACTCGCAAAGAAACCCGTTCTTCTTCGAAAAAATGTGACCGATTCACTCGAAAAAACACAATCGTAGCCGAACATTTCACATACCGTGTTTAATATGTGACCGTCCAATCGATGGACAAATGAATCGGTGGCAGCACTCATAACACCTTTAACACAAACAATCCAGTGATATGATTGAAACAAGCTGCAGATTTTTGCATCGATCAATATTTTAGATCACTCATAGATAAATCATCGGTCCGTCAAATGTTAATGCCTAGCATTTCAAGTATCATATATGTGATTTACTGTAAATATATAATACAAAAAAAAACAAATTTCAGAAAAAAGAAAGAAGGGTATTTTACTGGTGTCATTTTCTTGCATATGTATAATACAAAAGTGATTCCATTTTTATGTAAAAGATGTTGAAGATAATCAAAGAAGATGTGTTGAAAATGATCAAAAATGATATGTTGAAGATAAATCACGACAATATGAAAGAGATAAAATCTATGGTTTGTAACTTTCTTGTTTAGAGCAAACCCTCATACAAAGAGTAGCATAACCTAACTATTTGTTATCAATGTGACTGAACTATTGTTAACATCGTTCTAAATCTGCTCACACACCAAGTTCAAATTTATTTCTATGACGTAGTTCAGTTTTCATATGTTGTGTTTAATTTCTAATTGTTTTGTATTCAATTGACATCAAAATTTGTATTGTTCAGAAACCAATGTTGGGTATATGTAGATGTGTGTATTCATTACGCAGTCGTTTAGAATGAGGACTACGTTGAACTATAATTGTTGGCCACAATACCTGAGCTTCTTAGATTAAATGTTTAAGTCCAAGTAACTTCAGAAATTACTAAACGTCTTTCGATGTAGCATCAAATAAATAGTGTTGTAAAAAGCAAATGGAAAGGAGAAGCATGACAAGGTCACTTTTAGTCCTTCCAATTAAACATTCAGGTAAAGTATTATAAATTAGCCAAGTAACATCATTAAAGCGTCTAAATAACACAAGCTTTTCAGATACCATTTCTTTCTAACAAATTTCCTATAGACGTTTGAAAAACAACTGTCATATTGCTGACTTGGTATAGGCATTCATTAAAATGATTTAATCTTGTTTAACAGCTAGTTAAACCTGTAACATGGATGACAGTTGTCTGAGAAATTATCAAAGCATGAGGTGAGAAAAATGCCAAACAACTCTCAATAACTTGGTTAAAGTAGGTTTAACCAAACTTTTTCTTTGGAAAATGCCTGTACGAAGTCAGGAATATGACTTTTGTTTTCCACTCGTTCCGTTGGTTGATAACGTTTTATTTTGTCAGTTTTTAGACTTTTGAATTTGCCTTGTAGTTCGGTATTTTTTGTTATACTTTTTTGGCGTTGCTAAAGTTGTAGAAGTGAACTTTTCTTCCCCAAATATCCCCCACTAGTATATCATTAAATTTCAAAGTAAAAGGGGCACAGTTTGAGAAATCCTATGAGAAATGTCATTATGTATTTTACACACGACTTTATTCATCTTTCAAATTTCTTGAATTTAAGAAAAACAGCATAAATGAACTTGCCATATAGCCTCAGTTTGAATATCACATGTAGGTAAATTACCACGTAGATTGTAGATACATATCTTTTTTGTGAGATTGTTCCTCATACCTAATTTGACTAATGTAAATGTGTCACTTACGTTCAATTTGGACAATGTTCTGATATCATACTGACATAAGCAATGTCATTTCTGCACTAAGATGACAAAAATTTATGATATTTACTTATGAAAAGAATAAACATTTCCTTGAAATGATTGACGCATTGTACTATTTTAAGGCTACAAACACCCACGTATCGGAGCAATCGGTCTTTTGTGAAAGTTTCCAAATGTAAAAAAAATAACTTCATTTTCATAAACAATTTGAAACTGTTGTGAAGTTATCACCATCAAGAACTTAAAATGTATGTATTTAATTTTTCTTAAAATTAATAATTATAATTTTCAAAACATTCGATCCACTCAATGATATTCCTTTTGAAAGGGTACACACCAAATATGCTACTTATTTAAATGACGCTAGTCAATCACATTCTTTAACAGAAAATATTCTTTGATATAATCTTGATAATAAAAGCGACATACAAATTATATATGTTTCTAAAATAATATTAAATGAAAGGCATCAATTTATTTCTACAGATAAGGGCAGAGTTCAAGCACAACACGGAACAAGAATTCCAGCCTGCATCAACTCAATTGTAAAAGTGAGATATTGTTATCCTTTATGATAATAAACCGTGCATATGTGCCATTTACAAGATACTATACGTCATACATCGTGTTACAGATCTAGATTCAGCCGTTGATGAAAAACATCACACGTCGAAAGATATATTTCAGCTTTAAGTTAATCATTTGATTATTCATTTTAAAAAGGCTTTAATTGGAAGCTTTAGAATTTTATTTTTCAGAATTGATTTCCTAAAACTATGAATTCGAGATGCAAACTTAAGTGCATTTTCTAAGTTAAAATCAGTTAGAGGTTTTGTATTATATATTGGATATAACCATCTAAAAAAAGCGTTTATCGTGCTTATTAATTGAAAACAAGTAGCATGGTTAATCAGATTATGTAAATCCAATTCAATAAATGGTTTAACAATAATTTGTTCTCAAATCAAACAGCAACATGGAGTCAACATTTTAAGTACTTTTAAGGATTTACCGAATAGAAGGTTTTCACTTTCATTTGAATATCATATAGTATTTGTAAATGTCAGCATTCAAATATTTATTAAAAAATACATTCCATTTACCTAAATAGATACGTCAATAAAAGCTTTCATCTGATTTATCACTTACGAAATTGATAATAAATATACATGTACAATTTGAATCTAAATAGATAATTGTGACTTTCGAAAATGAGTCAAGAACTTTGAGTGTTTGGAAAAATATTGTTGTCTTCAATACTTTCGACGATTATAAACTATCGTGTCTATATTATATATATTTAATTGGTTTCGTTTGAAGCAAAATCGAAGTTCTCTTAGATCCCATAATCACGATAATAAAATATAAAAAAATAAAAATAATTACAAGTATCAATGTAAGACAGTAATTTCGAATCAATATTACATGCGTTCAGTTGGCCAATTGTTCGAATTTTAGAACTGTTTAATGGGGAAAACACACTTACAAACAAAATCCGCTTATGATGTTGTATATCCTTTATCAAATGAAATTCAAATAGTCAGGCCTAAGAAACAATCAAGAATCATATTACATTTGATGCACAGCATGAATTTACCAACGAGAAATCAAAACCACGTGTCGAAGAAGGACACACACCACTTTGGTCAAGAGAAGAAAACAAAAAACGTCGAGAAAAGTTTACAAAGTCTTATTCAGAAAAATAAAGTTCAGCGACACGAAATACAACACTAACAGAAATTAAATCAAATGTTGAAAAAAGGTCAAGACTAGTGACATTCGTCGTGTTACACCTGTTAAATAAGCCATAGCCGGTGATATGATATCATATAGTAACTAGTTGGTTTTGTTTGACTATTTTAATAAATCACTGATACGTGTAAAAAAATGCAACCCTTATTCATGACCAAATGTTATATATTTAAATATATACAAACGTTCATGACAAAGAATAAATGAAGATCGATACATGAATACAGGAACGGTATAGATATTAAAGCATAAAACTTCAAAATAAATACTAAAAAATTAACAACACATAAAACTAAAGCACTGGCAACACAAACCCTTTCAATAAAACTATGGGTAAATAAAAAAGAAAAATGGAGAGTTATGAAAAATAGTAAGTTAATTAAAACATACACTCTGGTTGGAAAGAAAAACAAAGAACGAGCAATACGAACCTCTAAAAAACCGGTTGTGAACTTAGATTCTTAGAAAGATTTTAATACACCACAATGCCGCACCCGTTGTTTTGCTCATGACCAGAAAATGCAATTGCTTGATACATTACATTTGATGATGTTTTAAATGAGACAGTAATTCCGTAATCGTCAACCAAGTAACCAAATTTTAAGGTGTCTATAATTCTTTAAAGACAGGACTTCGGCTCTACAATAAAGAAATACTGGTTTAATGAAAACAAAATGGCATTTTCCTTTACATTCACCTTCCTCTATATAGATAATGTGTTCTGGCTGAAAACTTAAAATGTTGTGACTAACTAGATCGCATCTATCTTAAACAACTTGAAAAACAGCATATCACAGATACATTTATATCTGCTTCATATCTTTGTTTACATTTAGATATTGACAATAGCGATTAGTTTACAACTTAACTTTTCGACTAATTAAAAAGAAATATTGCAATTTTTCATTGGTGGCCTTTCCATCTCTCGGTAGCAACATTCTATCATTATTTACATAAGGAGTATTTATCTCCTAGTTGATATGATAATGCAGAGTGTGGGTTTCCTACTATGATTTTCTTCATTGAAGATTTTATTTTTTATAATATGAACAAACGGAAATGTGGGGTATTCGTAACTGAGAGAGAAAACGAACCAAAAACAATTAAAAGATATCAATAGGACAATATACAGTCTTCAACGATAGAAATTTATTGTTTCTGGTTTTGTCTTCGAGGACATCATACTCGTCAAGCCATGCAATATTTTTTTGTAAAGCGATTGGAACAGTGTGAATCAACAAAGTATTATTTCTATAAAAGTGAAAAAAAAGGTCTAATGGCTACTCCATTAATAACAATAATAATGATGATAATGATAAACATTGCAAGTGCATTTTTTTCCTGTAGAATATGAAATTGTTGAATAGACGATAAAAAGAATTAAGGAAACAAAAGTTGTTCAGACATTTATTATACGTTATACGTGATCAATTTATATGTATATTAAGTATATAATTATTTTATAGTATTTGAAATCATGTGTCTAACATCTAAATAATGTTTGTACGATAAACTATTATTTTTTTCTATCTTATTATTTATATTTTTTGGGGGAGGGAGTGGGGTTTTTTGTTGTTTTGTTTTGATTTGTTTTGATTTTTTTTTTGCGGGTGTTGTGGTGTAGATGGGTTGTTAATTTACCTCGTTTTTAGAAGATTTGTTATGTTTTGTTTTTAAATACTGTGATATCAAGTGCCTAATTCTCCAATGTATTTATAATTATATTTTATTTTGTTTTGATTAGTTTATTTTAGCACATATCTATAAATGTATTAAGTTGGGATTATTTCTTGTTTTTTATTTGGTTTGTTTAAGATTTGTAATAACATGTGAGATAATCTGAATGTTTAAATTGTATATGTTCGACGCTATGAAATGTCTAGTAAGTTGATAAACATGAAGCGGATGGTTTTTCCAGAGATATTGTATATGTTGATTTTGTTTGCCATAACCAATAGATGTCTTTTGAATGTTGTTTTTGTCTTGTTAATAAACTGTTTATGCTATTAATTTTATGAAACCCACGTGCAATGCGCACGGATTTTTGTGTTTTGACAACGTCCTCATTATCTTTGATAAATGTATGCTATAACAATGCTAGCCTTAATTATGCAAGGATTTCTGTAGGCATCTCTTAAAATGTCTGCGATTTCTAACGGTCAGGATTCTGTCGACATTATAATTTCCAAAAAATCAATAGAAAATTAAAATACACATGATAACATTCACGATGAAACATAAAAATCACAGATTGTACTCGAGTGTCAACAAGAAGCCCCAAGTGCTGCATACACAAGTGTTAATGATGAAAAATAATTAAAGAATGTTAATCGTTTCACTGTTAAATGAATAATTCTTAATTATGACAACTACCTGCTTCGTATAATATAAATATGGTTAATAAAGTCATTGGTCGCATGATATAGTAACGGTTTAGTACAGTCACTATGCACATGGGTTGTGTTTATGTTAGTTATGATTGAAAATCAAATACCCAGAATGCGGCTTTTATGGGTATATGCAGCTCATCAGACTCGTGAAAAGAATGATTTTAAAAGTATAACTTCAGTGGTTGTCGTTTGTTGTTGTGTAACATATTTGTTTTTCGTTCATTATCTTGTACATAAATTAGGCCGTAATTTTTCTCGTTTGAATTGTTTTACATTTGTCATTTCGGGGTCTTTTATATCTGACTATGCGGTATGTTCTTTGCTCATTGTTGAAGGCCATACGGTGACCTATAGGTGTTAATTTCTGTGTCATTTTGGTCTCTTGTGGATAGTTGTCTCATTGGCAATCATACTACATCTTTTTTTTTATAGTGATTGCTTACTATAAACACGTGTTTGTGTTTATACTATGCACATGGTATGTGTTTATGTTGGTAATGATTGGAAAGCATATACCTGGAAAGCGGCTATTACGGGTATATGCAGCTCATCAGACTCTTGAAAAGCATGATTTTAAAGTATAACTTAAGAGGTTTGTTTCAGAAATTAAAGTTATTCGAAGTTTGCCTATGGCAAGTATGGTTTACGAAATAGCATTTCGTTATTGTGGTATGTCTGACTCAGAGAAACTTGTTGACAAAGAATCTTTAGCTGTCCCGTATGTGCATTCGTTGCTTAGTGTTAATTCTGCACATCATACAGGTAATAACAACTTGGTGGATACCTTTTTTGCTGTAAAAGACGTATTTTTACGGGAAGATTGCTACTTTTCATAAAGATTTGGCAGTTTGTAATGAAAACTTTGCAACCAAACTTAAGCAAGAACTTTCAGTCAATCTTCAAGGTGAAGGAAACTAAATACAGTTTAATTTCAAAAGTGATATCATGGCCGACCTTGTTAAGTTTTAGAAGCGTATTCCTAATGAAGATGCAGCATGTCTTGAATTGCTATATGGTGCTATCCTCAAAGTTAAGCAGCGCAATAAGCTTATCCGCATTGGCAACGAATCTCCCGCAGGCTGGCCCATCCGTGAATATGAGAGTGACGACCTTGCGTCCGATTTCGAATACGATAAACGGATCCATTCTGCTGAAAAACGTGCTATCAGCTGTATTTTGGATGTGTTATTGAAATTCCATTTCAACCTTTTACTGTCAAGCAACTAAGTGTGGCTGTTCAAAGTTCAGACAATAAACATTTCATCTTAGATTTAAGTGAACTGAATGTTTTTGTTAAAAAGGAAAAGATAAAAAAATATCTGAAAAAGACTGGAAGGTGGTTTAAAATTATTTAAAAAAAAAGATTGCTATCTATATAAATTTTATCTTAAGTCTGGATATTTTCATTATGACGTTTGTACTAAACAACAAATATATTTAAGATTTTGCTGGGACAATAAATTTTACTGCTTCATAATGTTGAACTTTTGGTCTATCATCAGCTCCATATCTGCTATAAAAATATTAAGGACCAATCGTAAAATATTGGCAAGAAAATAGTGTGGATATTGTACTTTGCTTAGATGATGGACTAGGAGAGGGTAAAACTTAACTACATTAATTTTGTAGAAGCTAAGGAATGTTCGTCTTTAAAAGAAAACTCTTTGTTAGAAGCAGGTTTTTTTCATTAGCATAGATAAATCTATTTTTGAAAAAGTACAATATTAAGAGTGGTTAGGTTTAGTTTTGGATGCGTCTGATTTTTCAATTAGAATATACACGTATATCATTGGTTGATTTTTTTAATGACTTTCCTAATTTCACAGCACAACACGGAAATTAGGTTAGGTAACCGGAAAAGTACTTTCAATGTGTACAGTCATGAGTAACATAAAAAGTTTAATGTATAAAGTATAAGGCAACAACAGTATACCGTTGTTCAAAGGTTATAAATCGATTGAGAGAAAATAAATTCGGGTTACAAACTAAAACCGAGGGAAACACGTCAAATATAAGAGGAAAACAACGGAACAACAGAAACACTGAAGTGCAACAAAAACAAACGCCAACATACATAGAAATGGACTATTTGATAACACCTGCCATAGTCCTGACTTAGTACAGGACATTTGAGGAAAAAAATGGTGGGTTGAATCTGGTTTTATGGCTAGCCAAACCACCCGCTTATATGGCAATGTTAAAAAATATCGCTAAAATGACAACACTACGTGACAGGAATACAGTACTTACAAACACAAGAACACTCAGCACAGAGAAACGCTTAAATAAATAATATACATGATAAAATAGTACATTACAACAAACCGTAGAATAACAACGGACATCTTCCATTCACAACAGCACAGGACACCACATACAGTGACGTATTTTTGTGACGTATATATAATCTTTAAATTCATACAATTATATGGAACGAGATCCAACAATTCACAATCATTTTCACAAGACTAGTCCAAATAATTATCATGATTATGAAGGTCTTGATGGCATATAAAAAGATATAATAACTGCGTTTCCATTGTTCAGAAAGGAAGTACAAAAGTTAATTTACAAGAAATAACTATTAATATTTGTAAGTTGTGTTCTGAATTGAATATTCTTTAAATGTAGTTTGGATCCCGAGATCAAAGTATACAAAAGCTGATCAAATTTTTCAAATGATTGATGTTGAAGACTTTGGACCAAATAAAGAAGTTTCAAATTAGTAGATGACCATTGGGGGTCCGCATACTGTGGACAGGTTTGCGCGTAATTTGAGTAAAAATTAACAAGATTTAATTCTAAATGCTGGAATCCAGGTGTTGAAGCAGTTGATCCTTTCACGAACAATGAAAAAATGATCTTCATTAGGTTGTTCCTCCAATTTTCATTGTCTGTAGAGCGATCAAACATTTGATATAATGAAAAGCTAACTTTACAGGACCAAACCAATTTTCACTGGACGTTGCCCAATGTAAGGTGACCCTGGGAATTACGAATTATGGGAGATTCGTTTAGGAGACTTCGTAACAGCATCCTGTTACAATCATTTCTTGTTTATTAAAGAATTCATATTCATTTGAGCTTGGCGAATTAGAATATAAATTATATTTATTAACGTCATTGTTCACATGATGTAGTAACGGTCAAGTGATTGTTTACTACAAACACGTGTTTGTGTTTATTCTAAGCACATTGTTTCTTCTTATGTAAGTTATGATTTGATGGCATATACTTGCAATTCGACTTTAAAGGGTATATGCAGCTCATTAGATACGTGAAAAGCATGATTTAGTATAACATAAAGGATTCTTTTGAGAAATTAAAGTTATTCGAAGTTTGCCCAAAGTTTATCGTAGCAGCATTTCGTTATTATGTTTACTCACCCACCCACCAGTTTTGAGTGTACAATTCGTGTCCACTTGTATGGCATGAGGATGAAGTGTTACTAAATGTTCATATGCTGTAATAAGTGTCTGTAAAAACTGTTTGGAAACGTTTTTTTCTCTGCAGTCCGACCGCGATTAATAATACGATTAAAAACAACTTCTTGTGGAGCTGTTAGAATAATTAACACATCAGGTTTATGCGTACACAAATTATAATAATGATCTAAAAGTTTAAAATTTCCCTCTGTCATTCTTTCTTTCAAATTTTCTTCAAAAATATGTCGACCACACCATCACTAACGTTCGTCAATGATTATTGGATGATTTGTATTCCACATCGGTCGAACCAATTCCTTTAGCGCGAGTACAATTTGATACTGTAATGCAAATGCATAATCTAAATTACCTGTTTTCCAATGAGGCTTTTCATTGTACAATTCTTCTAAAAGTGTATATTGTTCAACGGGTTCTGCCAAACAAACGTTTTTTGTCTCTTTTGCTAACGAATCTAACAATGTTCTTTTACCAATTCCAACGGGTCCATCAATTAATGCTAAGAAATTCATTCTTGAATGTATGAGTCAAAACTCACAGTGAAAAGTCAAAACTCATTTTTACATTTCATTGTTCCAAATAATTTTAAAATGCCTATGAGCCAGGGTGTGAACACCATCTGGCAAAATTTGTCGCTTGTCATCCTTGGCTGAGAGTGTTATTTTATTAAACTCGTCTGTAAAGATTTTGTGAAGGTGACTCCTAATAATGTTCATATGCTTATATATTTCCTGTTGTGTGTTCAGACATCTCTTGTATTCATCAACGGTGATATTTCGTTTAATTACATTCTTTTTAACCCCCTTCGCTTTCTTTGTGACTTCTTCATCTACCTTGTAGGCGTACATGTTTGCTCGAAGACCTTCAAATTCCTTCATAATTTTACGACCACACTCATAACACTCGTCCTTACATTTTCAAATGATTTTCGTATTCACGCCGGTTGTTATTTCTGACGAGTGTTCGGTTGGGTAATTGAAGTATCAAACATGTCCTGAACATGTGGTGCAATGTCTTCGTAAACATCGGTGATTTCAATCTCATAAGCCAAGCTTTCAGTATCGGTAATAAAGAGCTTTGCGTTGTTATGATACATCTTCCGCATAAAGATGTAATGAAAGTCAAACATCAAGGTTTTTGACAAATCCAAGATGCAAAGTCTCAAGTAAATGG